TACAAGAAAGGAATATTGATTGAAACATTACAAATAATACTATTGAAAAATACAAATAGGCATATTATAACATAAAAACAAAAAGCAGGTGTGCACATTTTATCTAGCTACCAGTCTTTCTCTTTATATATATACACTCTCCATAAGAACTTTTCCTTGGTCCAAGTCCAACTTTGCCTAACCAATTCATTGCAAAAGAATATAATTGCCAAGCAAAATATACATGGAGAACATTATAGCTATATCTAGGCTGGATAAGATAAGCAAATATACTATTTAATTAGAAATCTCAATCATACAACATACAAGAAAAAACATGTCTTGTCCTAGAATGCAATCTGCATGGAAATGTCATACCCTGCAACACCTATGGGTGCATGACATGTGGAAAGTTCACAAAAGATGCAGAAACATCGCAGTCCGGATTTCTCGCCCACAACACTCTACCCATGCAATACGTTATAGCTTATGTGTTTTCAACTTTTCATTGATGTTGTCATAGGTGAGAGGTGTGCAGCTGCAGTGTATTGTGGGTAGAGAGTTGTGGGCAGGAATTCCGGACCCGAGATATCGGGTTTCGGAATGTATCACACGCCATCTCCTCTGATGCAGTATCAAGCATGGGTGTGATGAGTATTTCTTTTAACTTGATCAAAGTTGAAGCTTCTAGGGTTTATTTTGTAAGTGGCCTTTCTGTCCAAACCTTGGGGAGATAGGTAGTTGTTGAAGAGTAGATGAATGATGGCTCTGAAAGGTATGGTGTATGGTGTATGGCTACCACCCAAAAATATGCCACCGGATATTAAATTGGATAAGATGTACGGAGTAAATGCCGATCAAATATTACAGCCAGGATTTTAAAGAGCCATGGTTTGTGTCTGTACACTTTTATGGCACTCATTCATGAATGCCCCATTGTTGTTTGTCGAGGTCATGATTTTTGTAAAAAGAATAAAAAGGATCACCCACTTTCCTTTGTCCCTTCTTAGTTGTTGAAATATTTAAGACTTAAATCTCTTATAATCACTTCGGAAGCTGAAGCATGATGAGAGAACATGGATTCGTATATACATACATACATACATACATAGTTTTCATAAAATGTCGCCTCTATATTAACAAGTTGACATAAAAAATGCATTCATCTTGTATATCAGTTTGTTCATTTCTGTTAAAAAGGATAACAGATAAAAAGGAAATGTCACGTAGAATTATCCTCAAGAATCCGTAGAGCGCCAGACTTCAACATGTATTCATAGACACATCATCCAAATAGAAAAGTCCAAACAATACTTTCTATACTTGAAAGCACAATCTTAAGGGCTCCTTGACCACATTTTTTTCATAAATAATGAGTCTCTATATTATCAATTAGGGGTTCCTCCTGTAAAACAAGTTAGTATTTCCTGTTTGAACATGAAAATCTTTGGAATGTTATAAGGCGCCTTCTTTGTTAATTTAATTTGATAAAGCTCGTAGGTCCTAGCTAATATATATATATATAAAGATAGATAGAGAGAGGGGTAAACTCCTCTTGTTTACAATGCCTCCTCCCTTAGAGAAGGGTTTACAAATTTAGAAGGAATTAAGTCTATAAAAAATAAAGAATACGACTAAACATGCAAATAAATAGAATACAACAATTATACAAGTATGATTTATTATCTCTCATCACTCCCTCTCAAACTAAAGCTATGGAGATAGCAGCAGCTTGTCAACAAAATACTAGTGCCTAACATGGGTCATAATCCTGGTAAAGATATATACATATCAACAGATTGTGGCTCAAAAAGCCAAATCCACTTGAACTTGTCACACATAGTTGGTCCCAAGCCCAAATAAAGGACAGAGATCTTGTCAGGTTGGATTCTGGCATTAAAACTTTTGCCAAACTCATACTTGAATAAGGTAAATTTCAACTACATTGGGCTTAGGTCTAGGCTTGGGTCAATCCAAAATTTTAAAATTTGAAGAAATATAATTGTTATTGGTTGCAACTTGCAAGTTCGATTGCTCAATTTGAAGAATTTCAACTACATCAGGCTTAGGTTTAGGCTCAGGTCCATATTCAAAATTTAATAATGGATATAGCACTACACAGAGTGCGATGGTAGAGTAGGATTCAAGTAATTGATACCATATAATTGGGATAAGGATTAGTTGAGTTGAATTGCAGGTCACAAGCTATGTAAGGAAATAAAATATGCTTAATCCACTTGTAAAAAAAAGGATCACGTGCGATACCATGCTTGTATTGCCAGAATAAAATGGAGTGGCAAAGATAAATCAATATAGAGATCATTGAACTACTTGGTCTTGACAGTTGAGTTAGAGTTGTGCTTCCAAGAGATGAGAGAATCACTATGCACATCAACCCATACTTGAGCAACTAGGTGTCTACACAACTTGTCCAATTTTCATCAGTAGAGGCTCAGAACTGGATCAGTGAACTTTTCCCATTTACAAGCAGCCTCTTTGGAAGAGGGCAAAATGATCTTATAAAAATGTGAAAGAGACAAATATGTATAACTGCAAAAAATACAACTACAAGGACAAGGACTGTACATGTAAATACACAGGATATAAGAATTATGATTTTTATCTCTCATCAGAAATAAGATCAGAGTTTTGGTCAAAGATTCAATAAGAACCTCCCACTGAAAAACTTTGTAATGGTTCAAAATTGGTACAGAATAGCATTCATGCCTACATTCTTGATCAAACTGGCAAACCAGAATGCTATTCAGAAATTCCTAGTAGTCAAGTCAGTAGACTTAATATGGATTCAACCCTGAGTTTGTAAACATAGACATTAATGGACAAACAGATTATTAGTGTTGTTGAAACTGTGGGGACAACTCTGTTGCAAATGCAACCAGCCGTCTTTAGATCGGTGGCTATATACCACACGTAAGAAAGTCTCATAGTAGCATAGGAAAATGACAAGAACTCCACACTTTCCCCCATCTACCATTCCACATCCAATTCTTATCACCTTGCTTTATCATTTGATTCAGACCTTTCCATTCCTGAAGTAGCTTCTCTTGATTTTTTTTTCTTTTTTGTTTTTTTCTTTTTTTTTTTGGGAAAGCCACTTAATTTTTAATGTAAGTTCTATTACTGGACTGCTTGGTACAGAAAAATTCGCCCATTTTCTAAAATTAAGGAGAAGAAACTCCCATGATTTATGATCCACACAAACATCTTTTCCATTGGATAATTTTCAAAAGTAATGGTCCTCAGAGATAACACAGTTCAATGCTTAGACTGTTGATGTTTGTTGAGCAGGAAACAAGACATTTAATATTTTGGCTTTTGTAGTAGCTAGAAGTTCGGTTTGCAGTGTTTGGGTCCATTGATCCCCCAGATTGTTTGGCCTGTATTGTGCTAGAGGTCATTTCTGATGCTTAGATATGGACTACAGAAAGCATTCCTTTTGCCTCTTATATCTTGAATGGATGAATTCCACTTTACCAAGGCCACAAAAATTGAAAATAACTATTGACTATATCACCCCTTGGATTGACTAAATCATCAGACATGTTGATGTTGATTCTATAACTATCAATATTAGCGTCCCGTGAAGAAGGTGCTTCAGATTTTTGCATCTGTAGTGGCTAAATTTCCATGCCTAGGATCTCTCTGATTGTAAACATCCTTATAAGCATCCTTTTTGCCTCTTATATTTATGAAATGGAATGCAAGAAAAAGAAGACTAATGTGATATCAAGCCTGTACCTCCATTTGAATCCAAACTCACCCTATGTGACAATATAGATTTTATAATGTGAAACTAAGATGGTGTTCATATCATAGATCTAAAATCTATATGTGACAATATAGATTTTAATCAGTGGTTACCACAAAGAGCCTGCAGTTATGTGGGTTTGATCCTGCACCTCCATATTCGGAGGGACACTGAGTGACCATCTCAGCTACTGGGTCATCGGCAATCAGTGAACTGTGTTGTCTAGGTGAGAACATAGTAAACTTAAGTGTTCAAAAAAGGATGTATTTCTAGTCATGGAACCATGGAATTTTTGGTTTCAGAACCACCTATAATATGGTCAAACACACCAAACGTGATTTCACATTACACTACCAAAAGGAAAGCAAATGAAACCATGAACTACAAACACATTAAAATATTTATGATAGGGAAAAAAGCTTGTACATATTCCTTCTACTAATGTGGTTACTTTACCATTCTATTCATTAAACTGATTCATTGAGACTAGTTGTGTGTTTGTATTTGTTTTACACGAGTATGTGAGAGAGGGAGAGAGAGAAAGTGCACATTCACATGTCACTGTGTCCTTTTGACAGTGTGTACTTTTGTATAATGGGCATACTCTGCTACTTTTATTTTTTCCACAATTTGGGATGTGCAAGTCACCCAAAATCCAACTTGTAGTTTGTCAAGGATTTCAACACAACACATTATGCGTATGTTCAATCGTAGACTTGCTTGAATACAAAGAACCCAAGTTAAGAAAACTTTATCTTATCTGCTCCTGCAATTCTATACACTTGACCTCAAACACCATTAGTTCTTCTAATTTGTTTTTCTATCTCCCAAAGAACCCAAGTTAAGAAAACTTTATCTTATCTTCACTAATCCTAGCATCTTTAACTCAAGGTGACAACATGCTTGTCTGAAGCTCAGTAAATTTGTTTTTCTATCTAAGAGAAATCTTTTGTCAGAAATTTGTTAATTTCTCTGAGATGAAAAATGCTGGACTACTTAAAACTCAAGGAATGTACCAGAGATTGGTATAACTTCTATAATTACATGCTAACAACAAGAATAAAAACAAGCCTTCCGCTTGCCTATTGCACTAATAATTTACCTAAAGATGTTTAAATGAATATTTAGCTCAATCAATTTAAGAATTGCGCATGTAGAAAAAAGAAAATGTGAATTATCATTTTGAGAGAGAATTTCTTGAAACACAACCAAAATAAATAAATAATACAACATATAATCATTGTACTTTATACAGTATGTTTACTCCGCCTAATAAGTGACTTGATGTCATTACTTTGCACTAGTTTCCTGGTTTTCTCATTGCGTCCAATCTTATGGTCATCCTGCAACAAACGAAACCAATCTCTATAGTTATATTTTCCTTTCAAGTCTTTATAAATAAAAGGTAGAAAGTGAACTGGGATATTTATGTCCAAAAGATTTTCTGGTTCTGATGAATCAGGTCTATTCCACAACTTGTTGGGTCAGGCCCAACTTATGCTTTTGAGGGTTTTTCTTTTTTGGCTCAAAATTGCCTGATTTCAGTCAACTGTTAGGGCTAATAATGCACTGCCCTAACCTATATCTGACCTGTTTATTCCTCTGGATTTCAGAAGAGCCTACATCCAAGGTAAACTGTCCATGTCACTACAACAATCTTCATCCTACATTCCTGAGATAATAGGCATAAACACATAATGCCTTACTGAGCTACTTGACAAGGAACAGGACTTCAGGAGGATATCAAATCACCTGGAAATGAAAAGAGAGATTTCGAATTTTAACTGGCATGGATGAGTCATCACGAACAGGCAATAATTTGGAGAATTTATATCCTGAAATAAAGTCAGGCGAAGATTGGATTTTGAATTCAATGCTGGTCAGATGGAAATTGAAACTTAAAGTTCTGCAAATGAGCAAGATTTTGTACTCTTAATAAAAATGAAAATATCCAACCTGAAGCTTGATACATACCATGCTTCTTATCACCATTACTAGATGTAAAATCCTTATCTACTGGCAGCTTATGTGCATATGTGTATAAGAAAAGTGGCACTTCTTCCACTGTGCCACGCTTGTACCTAAACAAGGTTTAAGAAGCTTTGGTTTGGTAAACATAAACATAGAATTACTTAAAAAGAAGGAAGAATAAATTGGAAGCATAGGAAATGAAAGAAAATTATCACCTACAATATAGGTAAGTTTGATCATAACACAGTAGGCAGCTGTGTTGCATGGACTCTCTTAAATGAATGACATGTCTAAGTCAGACATGTATCGGATTATGACACTATAGATTCTTGAGGACACTTCTCTGTAACATTTTCTATCTCTTAAATTATTTGACATAAATAAGCAATTAATGTACAAGATGAATGTTGGCTTCATATCAGACATTACTAAGTAAGAAAGGCAACATTATATGCAGGAATATAGTGTCAGAATTCAAAAAATATGAATGATATATACTTTTCCATAAATGTATCTGCATTCTGCAAGTCCATGTTCTCTCTTTTTGTTGAGTCAGACTCATAGACACACATTATATGTAGGAATATAGTGTCATAGACACACATTATATGCAGGAATATAGTGTCAGAATTTAAAAAATATGAATGATATATACTTTTCCATAAATGTATCTGCATTCTGCAAGTCCATGATCTCTCTTTTTGTTGAGTCAGACTCATAGACACACATTGGATTCTGACTCCTGTGTCTGTGTCCATGCAACACTGACAGTAGGGTGTTTGTTTGCAGTATTGCGGACATGTCATAGAACCACTCAGATTAAGCATATCAAAAATCTGTTTTTTGTGACACGTATTGCCAAAGCATTGCCTCTGAAATCCATGCTTCTTATTGTTTTTCAGCCTTATTATTACCAAAGCATTAGCCACCACACAGAAAAGTTGCAACTAAACAACACCTTGATAGAATATTCACAACAATTTGCTTGGTTTATGTCATAAATGTCCATCTGATATGCCAAGCTTGATAAAAAGGGGGAATGTGTAGAAATAGTGGGAAAGGGGGAAAGGTACCTGAGCTCACTGTTTGTTTTATCAAGAGTTGGAGTTGCTGAGTAACAAGCCAAATGTAATACAAGGAGAGAACACATGCAACACACCCCCAAAAAAAAAAATAAAATAAGAGTGAGACTGGGTTACTACAATTCCTTCACTTTGACAAGAAGAGAATATCAGAAGTTGCAGTGAAGAAGAAATAGTTACGTGGTGCAATGTAACGCGGGTGATGCACTGGGAGATTTTTACTCCAGCGTACTTCAGTAAGAGCCAGCTTGTGAGTGTATTGATCGCAAACTAAAAGCCTCTGACAAACATCAATTCACATCATCTAAGCTCAACGTTAGATTTAAATAGGAAAAGAACAGAAAAGTAAACGAGCAGTACAACCTTAACATATGTGGGCTTTCACTTTTGTAAGCTACTGTATTATGATTAATAGTTAGCAATATCATCTCATTCAAAATACTGACCTGTTTCAAACAGTCAATCCGAAGCTCTGATTCTGGAACCTCATTGTTCTTAGAAATCTGACATTCAAGATTTGTGGAGATACTTCCAAGATGATCAACAACAGTAACCACGGCCTTGCATATGTACTCCTTTGTGTTCTCAATCACCCTACATAATGAATAAACACAATATTGAACTTTTGCTCAACAAACGGAAAATACACAATAGAGAACTAATGGCATCTCTTTTTTATCAGTAACAAGATCAAAGTATTTCATTATTTTTAGCATTAAAAAAGAGTGAAAGAATCTATCCCAATGAGATATTGGTGGAAGAACCAGCAGCATTTTGCTTGCTATCACATAAAACAAGGTAAATAAAGACAATTTTATCCCAGCAGAGCTGTAACCCAATAGAAAGATTACCTTCCTACACCACCTCTTGTTAGAGTTTCTGTTATTTCGGCTTTACATTTAAAGTAAAGTGTACTCCAAATACCAACTATTATATGTATTGTAATTAAAATTTTTTCTTAGGCTATGTTTGGTTTGATAGAAAAAAATAATAAAGAAACAAAAGTTGAAGGAAAGTTCTTAAGGGACCGTTGCTTAGTTCGATGCTAAAATCTCAGGTTAACAAGCATGAGAAAACAATTAGTTCAAGCCTTGAGAACAGGTTTTCCCTTTTTATTACAGAACAGAATATACAGAAAAAAAAAAGGAGAGCTCAACAAAGATAAAAACAGGTTATGAGATCCTCAGCATGCCTTATTTTAGCTTATTTTTTGTTTTTCTTCTTATAACAATAAATAAAAGCTGGTGTGAACTAAATAGAAATTAGAAAACCCAGCCTGGCCCAACATACAGTACTTTCATGTGTATTTGAGAGGAATTCTAGTGCCGAAAGCTATGGCAGCCATCACACTTCAAAGCAGAAAAAACAAAGTATTAACAGAGTCTTCACCATGCTCATCTGTCTGCTCTATGATTGCCTCTTTTACTATTTCTATTCTAATTTCTAAGCAAGACCCACTTGAATGAAATAGATGCCATCAAACACTTACTGAGATTTCCAGCGAATATATAAAACTTAGACGGGAATTTATTATTAAACAAACATTATCTTAGAATTCTAATTTTTTGCAGGAAAATATAAAATTGTGATCAAGACATAAGAAAATGGTTGTGAAACCATAATCAACCACATGCCCACACGGAACCTAGTTGACTAATGATTTCAGAAGCATAACAGCTAAGTTTCGTGTGGAACAGAGAACGAATATGAAGGCAACCGACGAAACCGTCAGTGATTAAAGGCCCCAAATACATAGGTTCTGTTTGGCATCCATGCGTTTTATAAGCATTGCCGTGTCATTAATTTCTTACATCAGGGGAAAAAAATGAAAACGCCATTCAATTTGTATTTGAGAGATCGTTTTCTAAAAAAGGTTGTTATGATGTTTATCAGTTTATGTATATGACTTGGGTTTCGTAGAGAGAGGGTGATTTCGAATCATCAAAGTTGAAATTTGGAAAAAGTCAAATGCACTTTTAAGTCTTAAACGAATACGATACATTCCGGCCCGGTAAAGCATCTTGGGCCTTGGCCAGCCCAGCCTTGTAAACATGAAATAATACTTTAATAGAGATTGTCAAGTGACTGGAGTCTGGACGTGAAGCCAAGGAAAGAATAGTAAAAGCTGAACTGTTTTAAGGGTCCGTTTGGTTTGTAATGTGAACTGGAATCGAAATCCCTCCAAATCAGAATGGGAATGGTCTATTTGGTTCCCCTTGTCTGTTTGGTTCGTAGTGGAATCAGAATCCGCTGGAATGGGATTTTCATTCCCAAAGAAGGAAGAGGAAATGAGCCGAATGACCATTCCCTCAAATGGGAAAATGTAGTTCCAGCAGGAATGGGAATCATCCCACCAATCGGTTGGAAACTGAATGGGCCAATTTCGATTCGAATTTTCCAGATCCTATTCCTATGAGACAAACAGACCCTAAAGTTGTGTTTTGTTTGACCTACCATTTTCTTTCGAACCAAACACAGCTTAAGTTCTAACGTGCGCCTTACTGCTTGGATGTACCGTGCACGTGGAGACGTTTTCTCAAAGTTCACTCAGAGACTGCACCAAGGAAGGCGCAGTCCACTGAATTCCCTGCGCAGAAGCATCTCAGAAGGAAGCCATGGATTTGATGTCGTCTAGTGAAAAAGCAAAATGCACCTCATACCACAGTGGCGCACACGGCTCATTTTAGACAAGCCACAGCCTGGCCTGATTTTCAGTCGAGCTGGAGCCAATAAGATTATTCTCGTCGGCCGTAGCTCGGACCGAAGCGGGTGGCGTTGGGCCTCCCGACGTAATGCAGATACAATGCCACACCCCCTAAATCCTAACAATGGTGGAAAAGAGGACTTACTTTTTCCTCTGTTTCGCATTCAGGAACGCCTTTTCGCAGTAATCGGCAGCGTAGTGAAGCTGAGAGCGCAAATCCCTCAGTTCCTGCAACCAAAAAAGATCGAAACGAGCTACAAAAACAGTACAAAAGAGAACAGAAGAAAAAGACTTCTGAGAGAAATTGAAAATGGAGAAGGTACGAGAGATTAGCATGCACGATGCACCTGCATAGATTTTTCAAAGCGAGCGTCGTCATCGGAGTCGGAATCCATTTTTCCAGCAAGACGCGATTCTTCGGAGTTTTGCATTTTCTATTTTTTCTACTTCTACGGTGAAAGATAAGATGAGGCCGTACCGACTACCGAGATGAAGAAAGAAAAGACAATAAAAGAACGCTTTCTCTCTCTCTCTCTCTCTCTCTCTCTCTCTTATTAGTGTCTCTGATGCAGATAGTCTCGCGTTTATCTATCTTTAGCGTTTATGGGTGGTCGCTAAACCCAATTTCTGGCTCGTACAGATGAACCAGAGGCAGAGAAGAAGAAGACAAATATATGTTCTCGGTCTCGTGATCTCATGTCTCTTTTGAATCTTTTTAACATTCTCTCCAGTTTAAGGTTCGTTGAATATGAAAAGGTCTTTCAGAAATCAGAAACACTTTTCTCACTGTATTTTTTTTTTTTTACTGATCTAACTTTTCGATTAAGTAAAGCCAGAAATTGAAATTCTTCTCTGCAAACGAGAGTCCACCCCGGCTTGTTTCCTTTGTTGGTCAAGCATTTTACATCAAAAATTTAAAAAATAAAATAAAAAGAACCTCACCTGGTTAATTACCACTGGATCCTGAATTCGAAATGGCGGGACGCTCGAGAGTCTTTCTGAAATTTCTTGTCTTTCATTATTGACAGTTTGACACTGCCTCCTGCGTTAAGATCTACTTTTCACCATCTGGCATACTTCCTACATTCTGGGGTGTCGTGCTTGAAGCCTTGAACAAAGCTTTATGTATCCATTAAAGACAGCCCACGTGTTAATGCTCTGTCTATACAAAAATTGATTTATTACAACAAAACTATGAATTAATTAATTATGATTCCTTTATAAAAACGATTTCTCTTTCTCTCTCTAATCACTATCTGAGTTGCATCCAACCCATTATCAGTGCAGTTGGATTAAATGAGAATTTCCACCATACATGCTCACAGGTCACAGCGGCCCCTGCCCAAAGTTTCAGGCTTTCAGCCCTCAAAGCATTCAGACGATTTATCGTGGATTTCTGATTATTCTATTTATCCGGCCCGGTCCTGCTGGGGCTGTAATCGGATTGAATCCAGTTACATCTGCATCTGATCTACGTTAGATCCAAAATCCTATATGTGAGATTCAGATTGAATTCGGATATAATCTGCATTTAATTTAATTAATAATTTATCATGCTTAAAATGACAATAAAAATAGAAAATAATATAATTATATATACATATAAATGAATGTATATAAATATAAAATATTAAATGTATCAATTATAAATTTTATATACGAGTTTGGATCTTCTCTTCACACAACGCTCCTAACACTGACCTCACAGGCACATCCCACCATGTATCGGGAATATCTCTCATACTTCTGTGTTATTATTCAGGGTATATTCCCAATGCACGATGGGATGTATTTATAAGGTTGGTGTGAGGTGTATTCTATAAGAAGTAAATACCAATTCATAAGAATAGTTGCATATATATCTAATTATATATACATAAAATATTAATTTTTTAATCTAATTGAATTTGATGTCAAATCAGGGTTTTAAAAACTAACTCGGAGGCAGAACCGTTTTTGCCTTTGAGTCATAGGTCACCAATTCAACTGGCTGGGTCGAATGGTTCAAACCGTGTCACATCATTGCATGTGTGTGTAAATATATATTTTTGTAATAAATAATGTATAAATATGTTTTAGATATGCTATATGTATTATTTTATATTTAATTTATGTTTGTTAATTCAGTTTTTAATTTTTTATTTATAAAAAATATTAAAAAATGCAATTTGAGGCCTAAAAAGGGTTTTTTTACAAAAATAGTGGAGCAAGGCACCTATGTCACATTGGGACGCATAGATCTCAAAAAGTTACCCAAAAAATCATTCCAATTAGACATCGAAATGCAAAGTTATGGCCTCTGAAAGTTTGTATACATTAAGTGTGCATCCCACGACCCAACTGGTTTGAACAGTTCTTGACCAAGTCAATAGTTTTTGACCATTTGATGGGTCTTGATTGAACCAGACCCGAAACCTTGGCTGACTGATGATTAAAATGATTCGACTGGCTGGGTCAACGATGGGTTGAAAACCATGTGTCAAATAGGATATTGAATTTAATTTATTGACAGTTCTAGCCACCGCAAAAGAGATCCTACACTAATAATCCAAGCAATTGGTTCAACAAGTTCTTTATACAAAAAAGGACTTCTTTTTAATCGGGATTTGCTCTTTACAAAGTGCACCTCACACCCACTTCTGCGATGTTTGGCATCGATGTTGTTTTCCTGAGAAAACGGTGCCACGTAAGCACCACATCAGAGAAAGCGGTGCTTCAAACAATGCCCTCTTGTTTGGTACCGTTTTTCTAGAAAAAAATGTTGCTCCAGACCATGCCTTGGAAATCGGGAAAGTGTGGTCTAAATTAATACCAAATTCGGTTTTCTGAGAAAACGGCGCGTTGTTGCCAATAGTGCAATGATGTAGCATCATCCTGGACATTGGATAATAAAAATTGCTCCCAGCACTGGTACCAAATAAAACCAGTGTTGTTTTCTAGAAAACGCCTATGTGATAGCACCAGTTCCAAACAAAAAAAATAGTGCTTACAACTCCACATGCCCAGCACTATTTTTATGAGAAAACGGTGCAATGTTCCACAGATGCCAAACACCTACTTCATGGCCCCATCCCACCACGTACTAGGAATATCCCCCATGAATAATAACACAAAGTACAGGAGATGTTTCCAATGAGCGGCTGAGATGCATTGTGAGGTTAGAGGATGGTGCAAGGAGAGTTCTGAGAAGCAGATTCGGACTTATTTTTTAAGCTCAACACATGGAGGAGAACCAAGTGACTATACCTGTTCTGTTGTCATCTATGGTGGAACTGCCAATGGAGGCGATGCGAGGCCTGGGAAATGAGAGGAACAAAGAGATCCAAACGAGTTTCAGAAACTCTACAAGAACGTATAGCATTCTATAATTTTTGTTTTTTTGGCTAAATATATAGAATTCTAGAATTCAGGCACACTCGAAGCCCAAGTCTCCAGAGAAATGATTTAGCTCGTGGTCATGCATGGTTTTCAAAATCGGACCGAATTGGACACTTGGACCAGAAAACCCGGGAATTAGTTAGGTAATCAGTTCCATTTTACTATAAAACCACCAAAACCCTTTGATTTAATTGACAACCCACTGACCCAAACAATCGAACCGTCAACCCAGACAACAGTTTTTTATCTTTTTTTTTTATTTTTTTAAGTCAAAACAGGCCGTCCATTTGAACCAGATGATCAGACCATTTGACCTGGGAACCGTTCCCTGCCTGGTCCGGTTTTAAAAACCTGGAGTTGCATTGAGGAAAATATGGAAGAAGATTATGAAAAGGAATTTAACGAAAAGGGAGAAAGGAAAGCCAAGAGAAAAGAAGCACTTCTCTTACCCAATAACAGCCCACCACTATAGGTCCACAAGGATTTATCTTAATCCCAGAGGCCAGCCAGCTTTGTCTGCCATGTTGATTACCAAAAGAAATAGATTCTTGTCTGCCAAGTTCCTGCCTATGTACTGAGTTGGGTATATTATATCCAATCGTCCATCACCTCTTTCATAAAGAGACATAACCCTACTCTGATTATTTTTATTACTAGTAGGGTGTTGTCCCCACTAACATATAAATTACTTAAACCCTACAAAATTCCTTGAGACCTTTCTCTCAACTTCCTGCTTCTCTCTTATTTTCTATCAAACCAAATAAAGCCTTCATGTACAAGGCACGTGGGTGCATTATAATCCTTTCTTTTCTTATTTTTGAAAATTTATACACTAAATTATAGTAATCTACTAAGAAAAGCTTAGCAAACGGGTGGATTTAAATTAAATAAAAAAGGGATGAAAACATAATAAATAATAACATTAAACAAAACATGATAATTATCTTGAGGAGATGTGCTCAATAGTCAATACCAACTAATAGAGATTTAATTATTTAATTATCAGACTAATAAATTTGGCTGTACTTGACGGACAGCAAACAAAGTAGAACTAAATTGGATGGACAACTTTTTTCAGAAATCAGGGCGTAAATAATTGTCTCTTGCTGCCTTTTTGGTACAGGTAATTAGATATACCAAGCAGGGAGATGTATTAGGACCATCCATCAAAGAGGGAAAAAAACCTTCAACACCATGAGACCTTCAGTGGGATAAACATAAAAGAGTGCAGAAGCAGCTACAGATACAGAGAAGGAAATGTGGCACAAAGAGTAGAACACTCCATTAGTCCATTATTAGTTTGTTGCGCCAAAAGAACACCCATAGAGAACTTTTCTGGAATTCTAGATGACCGACTGGAACAAGATCGAACACATCCTATCCTGGGCCGATCTTGCACTGTTTAATTTTTAGAGCTCAAAATAAAGGGTTTAAAAGAAAGCAGCAAACTAGAACAAGATAAATTATTGAGAGTATGATTTATAATTAAAACAATTAGCTTACCTGTTTGGTACAGAAGCTTAGTAAGAGAAGGGTACAGTTAGTTGGCTTTACCACCAACCAAGTATTTTACACCCACAATTCTGATCTTCACTGTATACTCCAACTAATCAAGAGATGAAGGTTTCCTGGAAGAGTAGATGCAAGAATGTGTTCACTCAGGAGGTGCCAATTCATGTCCTAGTTGTAATATCTAGTTGTTTATATGATACCAGCTCATAAAATCCCTGATTGTGTCTTTTTTTCAATGAGAATCACTTTGCTTGAAAGTTGAAACAAATTAAGTTTGAAAAACCAACATGAGAACCATCACACACTTTGCTGGTTAGAGTTGCTTTGGGTTTGATAGTGCACCTTTTCCTTATTCTCAGGCTCATCTTCTTCATCAGATGTTAACAGGGATGAGCCCATCCATGCCTTAAAGCCTTCATTCACTTGCCTCTCCACCTCTGGTGTCACCTCTAAGGGAATTGCCTCCAACATCTCCAGACCATGATTTTGACCAGCAAAATCCCCTTCATCAAGAATTACAGATGCCTTCCTTCGGAGGAAGAAGGCAGTACCACCATATAGAGTAACCAGCCCCCATGATGCAATCTCATAGCACCAAAACAAGGGCAAGGAACAGCTACTCCCCAACGTAAGAAGGGTTGAACCAAGAAACAACGCAAGAAGACCAAAAATAACTGCAAATACAATGTTGAGAATGGATAGACAACGAACACCACCTACAAAAATGTATGAAGGTTAATAGTACCACCATGAAACATGAATATATGAAGGGACTGCTTTCGAATATGTAAGAGCAGAAGCATTGCTCAAACTTCCCAATAAAAGCTCATGTCAGTTGATCGATGCCATACATGGGATTCAAGGGATGGGAGTGCATAAATCAAATCAACCGTTATTCTATTTGATCACAATTGAAATATTCTGTGTTTTGGCTTCTGAAAGAAATAATTCAGTGTTGGCAGAAGTAGCAATTTCCACATGAAATGGTCTTTTTTAAGTCCAGAGACAAGCTCTGGTTCCTGGAGTTAATTTCAGTAGAAGCTGTTATTGGGGGAGTGTACTGGATCCATACCCATCTCTGGCCCAGCTTAGTGGAACAAAACCAACTAGTCTATATTTATTACTTAAATTTTAATAAATCTGCAATTACAAAATGAAATTTGTCTTTGAAAATCTAGAATCAAATATTGGAAAAGAATTAGAATGTGCTTTTTCAAGAAAATAAAAGGAATAAAATTGTTTTTTAAAAGACAAGATTTTTCAGGTCCTGTAGCATTATAACAATCCTGAGTACAAAAACAACAAAGCATTATAACAACAGAAGCAGAAAGCAATATTAGAAACAATCCACAAAGTATTAAAGAGGCACGAAAAGATGTCACCTTTTCTTTTTTTTTTTTTGGAAGGATGTAATGTATGCTTTCATTAGGTAAAGAGGAAAAATCCCCAACATCAGTGACTATACAGTGAAGAACCGTACATCAATAACAAAATCAGGGTCAAAACAGAACCAAAAATGTCCCTATATCAAGCTCACAAAGAATGGACAAACTAAATGTTCACCCAAGGACCTTTCTCCACACTTCAAGAGCTTGGGAATGCTTGAGGTTGAAGACTCTTTGACTTCTCTCGATCTATATGTTCCAACTTACTTCTGCCAGTATAGGATACCACACTTTTAGATGCTCTGTCCAGACCAACAGCTAAGGGCTTCCTTAACTATTTTAGGGAAACACCAATAGCAGTGGCCCTCCAAAAAATCCGACACCATATTTCTCTTGTAAAAGAGCAATGGAGAAAAATATGATCATTTGTTTCCATATTTCATTTACGGAACATGCATCTGATCTCCCCAACTGGCATCACTCCCTTAATTAGGTTGCTTCAAGTGAGACATCTATCCCACATAACCGTCCATAGTAAGAAAGAGACTTCGAATGGAATCAGAGGGTTCCATGTCACTTCAGCTGAGAATGAACTGTTGGTCCTATTGTGTAATCTCCTCCCCAGCAACCTGACGGAGAAGGAACCCATAGAGTCCGAAAGACAAACTCTTCTATTCTGAACACCTGCATGTGGTTTTGGCTTTGCGTAGTTTGAAGTAATGAGAAGACTTCCTCAACCTCCCAATCCTGCAGATTTCTGCCAAAGCCTTGAAACCAAATGGCCTGGTCCCCCTTAGTTTCATAGCAATCAGCAACTGTGGTTTCCTTGTTAGATGGAACAGGGAACAGGTTTGAGAAGGATTGACAAGGCTGGGTGTTGTTGCACTAGTTGTCCAACCGAAACCAAACATGCAATCCATCACCCATCTTCATACAGGATCACAGCCATACAAAATTTGGACAGGTCTAGGCATCCACCCATTTGAATCAGTACCAATGTATTGATCTTTATTGCCAAATAGAGAAGATAGTGTTAAAGTGAATGTGCCCGATCAAATAAGAAATTTGTTCGTTCAATTACTTGATGAATTGATTATTTCTGTTCACAATTTTGTATGGATGCATAAATGGAATAGTATATCATGAGTTGAATTGCAATGTCCTTGGGTAACAGAGTATGAATTCTGTTATGTGTTTGAGATGCACACAAGGGAGATCTAAATATCTAATATCCAAATACTGTAAGCCCATAGTATTTCAGAATCTCAATAATCAAAAAAAAAAAAGTGTGATGTTAAACCCAAGTTCTCAAACCTTCCATCCAAAGTTTTTTTTCCATGATAACAAGTAATAGTTGATCATATAATACCTACAAATATATAATTTCTCAACAAAGAATTTACTACTTGAATAGAGAGAACATCCAGATGAGATTTCAATTATGTTTGGACACAAAATTCCCTATCCGACATATTAAATATTTTTTAAAAATGATTTTATCAATGTATTATTGTGTTAGATATTATATTTTGAAAAAATAGATTTATAAATAATTATATTCTTTGTGTCCAAATATAATACCAGGGACTGATTTATAAATAGTTAGGGATTGGATAGTAATTTATTCTTGTAGCCTAGTGGCTATTTTGGATATCGCGCGATGAAGGGATATCACTGCTAAAGAACAAAGTAGGGTAAAACCCCTTTGTACATCCTTCCCTTGTTTAATGAAACCAATTATCTTTTCTCAAAAAAAAAAATCTGGTTTTCTCTAAGAGCTCAAATGCAATTCTTATAATGACACCAACTGCAATTCTGGATAGCATGGTTTCCTCATTGGAGTTCTCTTCTAATTAATGCATGCAAGAAAAAACACACAAAGTGTAAAAATAAATTTTAACAAGGTGTAAAGTTGCAATAAAATTGCAAATTGGATACTTAAACTTGAAAACTGGAATCTTAGAAGGGTTTCACTTCTCTAGATGCATGTGATGCCTAGAGCACTTTATATTAGAGGCCTACTACTTCTATCTCTCACATACACACTTTTATCTGGGATATATAGGGTTAATCTTGGTGAAAATTATATGGCATTTAAGTTGATTTTCTTATAGAAAATAAAAATGCAAAAAATGTTTTCCACTTATGAACGTTATCAGATTGAACTTTCTTTTATTAATAATTGCATCCTAGTGTTACATAACAGCAGAACAGAAAGAAAGGTGAAATCACCTGGATACATTTCCACGCATTCCCATAACAAGATTTTAAATGACAACAAAATAGGGTACCAGAACAGGGAAAGGCAGAAGAGACTTAGAGTACTAGTAATTAGATGCTTATTGAATAGCTTCACAAATAAGATTTATTTGAAATAGCAAAACTTTAGATGTTAAATGAGAATGGACTTGGTTACTGATGAAAGAAAGTTTAAATCATTTTCTTTAACGCTTGTAAATTACCTAAGCAATTTTTAGTATGTGTTTCCGATTAAATTAATAATACATATGATTTTTATTTTATTTTCAAAGAAAAAAAGAATGGATAAACATAAAGCATTTAGTAAAACATCAATGAAGGCAAAAGTACCCCTTCTTGAAGCACAGTAGTTATTCTCCACTACTCTTAAGCATCCATGTCGTGTTGGAGCAGAATAAGCAACAACAATTCCTGAGACCAACAAAAGAATATGGAGCTTATATGACATAGATAAATGAAAGAAAAAAGGTATTGCACTTTAATATCAAAAGCAAAGAACTTTGTTAATGATGAAAAAGTAGAGAGAGAAAAAAGTAATGAACATTTAAGACCATCAGAACAAGATGATCAAGCACTAAGGCTGAATACCTCTGGCCAACAAATGCAGTTTAATATACTAGGACAACACACCACAAACAATCTACCCTGGGAGGCCTCTTGGCACAGCAACCAGATTGGCAATTTCAATACGCCCACTCCATCCCTATCCAGATTCTCTGTGAAAGAATTGATAGATCTCTAGATCAAGCAGAACTAGATGTTCATTCTGAGAGACAAGAATCTAGCCTCCCTGATATGATGACAGAGCAGCCAAGCAACCTCCTCACTATCCCCCATTCATCCCATAGCGAATTTCCATCCACCTCCACCAGGGTATATTCATAAAGCATAGTCAAACTAAGCCCCCAAAGTAGTGATAACAGGTCAGCCCTGATGGAGATACCATGGCAAATAGGACCTCAAAATTCTATCAAATACCCCCCCCCCAATCCCAACTTCCGAATGGTCCAGATTCCCTAAAGAGCAACCATGAATAGAATTATATCCACACAATGACAGTGACACATGGGACCCATCCACTAACTACATCAGCAACAGAGAAATCTCCAAATTCCTCTCTTTTATAAATCTCTGTTAGAAGCCAAAAAGTATGCCAGCATCTCTTAAAAACAACTTAACAATTAAACAGCTTAGACTACCAAGAACATAACTGTCAAAATTTAACTTAGTAGCTCTGCATTTTCTACCATTAGTATACAAACAACAAACATTTTAAATTCAACAGAAGTTTCAAATTTTCAGGAACTTGATGTAGTCTCAAATATCTCCAGAACCATATCCATGAAGGGCATAACACCAAGAATTTCGGTCTGAAAAATATAATAGTAAAAAAAAGAAAAATGTGGCATAGAGATAGTAGGAAAAGTTAATCACATAATAATGAAAATATGAAAGAGAAAAAAAAGGATTTTTTTTTAAATTTGGCCTTCCCCCTTAAATTTTGCATTTACCTATTCTTTAGTTTAAACCAAAATATCCAAAAATCTATCAAAAAATCAAAATATCCAAATTATGAAAACTTTTTTGTCAACGTTTCAGTTTCAAACTAGGGGAAAACCCAGTTCAGAACCAGAAGTTAAAATCGAATATTACATGCTACAAGATCTTAGACTTTTAGTACATGCAACTACCTTTTGTCTAAGCGTATCCCTAGGAGAGGGGATATTGTTCTAGAAGAAAGTGGAAAGTTTTGGTACTCATCCCAATATTTCATGAATATCGTAAAAAGTAGGCATATTCATCTTTCCATGTACTAAATGGTCACAATGCACTTCTAAAACTAGGCAACTTGTTTTGTCAATTTAGTAAGATGGGGCTTGAAAAGGAGAATGAAACATTTAGTAATAGAGGTTGCACGTATCTTCTCTAACCCTTTTTGTTTATAAGCCCCAAAAGGATGAAAATTCCGTCATCCTTTGGTTCTCCTAAAGTTCATTCAAATGTTGCATACTTTTTCCTTTTAAATCTTTACCCTTTGTCTTCTGTTTTGGTAACTAATTTATATTGTAATGCAAAAGAAAAGAGGGTGTGAAACATGAACAAAGATGGTCCGTTTCCAAGCCAAAAACTATTAAGGCATGGAAAAACTCTATATTCCTGATATAGCAAGCATATCAGCTATGACATACAAATTCCTAGAGCTGGACATCAAGCCAATATTTCTCTTATTTCATTGCAGAAGAATCCCCAAGACCCACTTCCCCCTCTTTGGCACCACCTGGTTATGTTCCTAGAATCACCATCAATTACTTATTCAATATGTCTCTAACATTTCCCCAAAACAACAACATAATTTATTATTTCAATACTTTACAATGATGAATGTTTAGTACGTCCCTTCTCACCAATCAATAAATCCATCACTATCTAAATTATGATCCTCAAGCTGGATGTGAGATAACGAGTGTAATTTGATATGTTATACCTCAGAACATCAGTATTTATTTTCTTGTAGTTTTGGGAATCATTTGTTCATTTTGACTAGAGGGCACTTTTTCCTTGCAATAAGTTATTATGTGTTATTTTAATAAAAAAAAGAAGTATTTCTAGTTTTCTGATCAGTCTTGAATAATTGTCGACGGTGTATCACTTTTTCTTCTTTTGTCAAACAACAACAACAACAATAATAATAATTACTAGTAGTGTTCATCACAGATTCACACATCCCAATTCTCAGCATATCAACCAAACTTACAAAGTCAATAATATGGTACAAATGGTTAAGTACAACAGTTTGAATAAAGCCACTTATCAATTATATATCAAATGAGTAAGAAAAAAAGAATTGCTTCAGCCAGAGGTTTGCTGTGCATCCTGTAGCCTAAAAATATGTATACAAAATCCTAGGGGATAATTTAAGCTCTATAACAAGAAATAATCCGTACAATAACCTAACATTGCTCGATTAAATTTTGCTTCACATATAGGTTTCATGTCTAACAAGTAACAAGTAGGAAAAGGCTTTTACTGAATTAAAAAGCGAAAAAAAAAAATCACAATGGAACAGAACAACAATGGCCTTGTAGTTCCACTTACCTGCCAATAGGTAAACAATGGAAGCGAAGAAAATAATTGCTGACGGTATGAATACAACCATCCAGTAGTAGTCGGCGACTTCCTGCTCTGTGAGATAAAATGCTCCAGGAAAGGTATCAAAATCTGCACCGACATTAATCGAAAGAGGTTGATGCCGTTGATCGCCGCAAAACGGTCTTTTGCCCTCATCGAGCGGGAAAACGATATTCAAGCTGATGAAGACGGAAATGAGGACTATCAGGCACAGAACCGTCAGGGAAACCATGATTAGGGGCCTCTGGAGGCGGACCCAAGCCTTCACTTCCTCGCGGAGGCCACCATATTCATGTTTCGGCATGAAGGCCTGGCGAAGAGCATCACCAATGATGGCCATTGAGATTATCAAGTGATACCTCTTAGGTGTTTGGATCTAATCTCCTGTATCCTGTATCCTGAATCCTACCTTCAGAAATCCAAGCCATGAGTCGAAGAAATAATTTAGGGCTTCACAAATTAACTTCAAGGAGGTTTCTCTTGTAACAAATCAACGACGAATGTAGACTTCCTTAACCAGATCGTTCCCTAATCCAGCCCTAGTTCCTGGTTCCATGAGCTGTTGAGGGATCAAAAACAGAACATCTATGTTATTCAATATTGATTTCTGACTTCTGAGCATCTAAACCCCTAGGAATCGTTGTTTCATTTTCATCCACGCGAAAGCACCTCGTTGAAGTTCTGAATCGGTTTCAGATTTCAAGCTGCACTTTCGAGCACTTTTATTAATGATTTTTTTCCGGGAAAATCTATGATTCCGGACATACTACGTACTCTTAGTATTTTGGCGGGGTATTCCACCCTTCGCGATACTGCGTAACTGCATATAACGGACGCACTTCTTGCGAACGGATCGATCGAATCGGATAGAGGTAAATCCACATTAGATTCGTTTGCATTGGATCGACGTCGAATCGGATTCGGATCATCCATTTTATCGAATTCAAGCCGAGTTCGGGTTGTAATATGATATTGAATGAATGTTTTGACTTTTGGCCACCAGTTACCGGCTCATAAGCTCGACAATATGGTCTGAACTGATCAGTCCGTGATTTTTGCCGTTGTTCAGGTCAAATGGATCGACAGTTTGACCACCTGGATCAGTGGATCGCTAAGCAATCCAACGGTTGTGGGAAAAATAGTTGTCTGACAATGAGACTAAATTGATACTCTGACCGATTTTTAGGTTGAACGGTGTCCGAATCAATTTTGAAAACCTTGTATTGAATAGTGTTAATAAATTAAGATAAAAGTGATTAAAAATATCATATATAATTAATCAGATGAACTAAATACGACTACAAAAGCAATTGATAAAATTTAATCAAATGAACTATAAATATTTATGATCCAGGCCAGAGAGGATATTACCCAGAGATGTATGGATACAACGATACAAGAATCAATCGATAAAATTTAAACGTTACATACGTGGGACCCAGCTCTTTAATAATTATAACAGAAAAAAAAGTAAAAAAAAAAAAAATTATACACCCAATTTATGGAGTATATCAATATTTCGATCCTCAAAGCACTAGTAAACAAAAGCATAACATCCGGCTACACAAAACATTTCTCCATTCTCAATGAGTAACTGGATATTATGATGTTAATGTGTTTGTATACTTTGTAGTTTTAGCATATATATGCTCTTAATAAATGTGCTACATAACGGGGGTAGAAGGTAGAAACCATTCATAGTCAAGGTGAGCATCAATTCTTGGCCTCTTATACACATTTACAACCAGTAGCAGGTTTTATATTAGGCCAAATTAGGGGTGAGCATGAATTGGTTTGGTTCAATTCAGTTCCTAGGCAAAACCTAAAACTAATTTATACCAGGTTTTTAAAATCGGAACCTATCCTATGAAGATCAATTCAAGAGTCAATTATACTCTTAGCAATTTCGAGGTCAATTCTAGGGTCTATCCATGAAACCTTTATCTCCCACCTCAAAAAAAATTGAGCATTTTATTTAAAAACTTGAATTTCAATAATACCAACAACAACAATCACTTACATAATAATAATAATAATAATAATAATAATAATAATAATAATAATAGTTCAAAGCTTATCATTATACTTTATATTTTGTAAAAAAATTACCTTTTACATTATTTGTTATACACATTCAAATGTTAAATTGAAAAAAAAAAATCAAATCACTTACATAACAAAATGGTCAAGCTAGATGTGAGACCATGGCCTTTGTAACAATGAGTGCTTGGATTCATATCTTTACAACATCAAAGTATTTTGGTATTTATTTCAAGACAATTTTGGTTCAAAAGGCCATGTCCACCAAGGCCAACCAAGGCCAGTTCTACAAGTCATCAATTCATATAGGTAAACTGTAAACCCCTAGACAATGGAATTGGTTTAGGTAGGAATTAGTTCCTTGGAACTAGACCTACCTGGTAATTGATTGGGTAAGGGCAGTTCAAGATCAATTAAAGGTCAGTTCCGAGTATAACCTATTTCATTTCCTCACCTCTATACCCAACATTATTTATTGCATGTTAAAAACATAAATAAATGGCTATACAAATCAATGGAGATAGCATCAGATACTATGGTTGCAATGGATCAGATTGAACCAGAATTATCTAAATTTAAATGTGATTTATTTATATTCGGGTTTGAATTAAATGGTATCTACCAAATTTATTTTAATTTTGGATTCTAGTTATAAAATATTATATTATTAACAAAATGGACTATCAAATAAAATGATTTTGATCATGGTTTTCAAAACTAGACCCGATCGAACAGCCGGACCAAAAAAACCGGGAATTAGTCACTTGGCCTGTTCTGTTTTATCCCATAACCGTCATTTTGGCCAAAAACCATTGATTGGTCGGCAAATCACTGACCCGGGCATTCAAACCATTCAAACCATCCAGCGGTTTTGGCCTTTTTTTTTGTTATAATGGGCTGTCCATTCAGTTTGAATGTATAGGCTGTTCGACTTGGGAACTGGACCCTGAACGGTTTATTGTCCGATTCGATTTTAAAAAACCTGATTTTGATATTGCACATTACTAATAAAATAAATTAGAAAAAACAAATACTTGTATGGAACTTGAATTTACGAGCCTTTAGTAAAAACTAAAAATACAACATCCATGTCAATTTTATTAGTAAATTCAGTATAATTTTTAAATACATATGAGCATATATTTGTTTACAAAAAAAGCACATATATTTGGATTAATTTGTAGCACAAAGAAAAGTGCATGTATTTGATATATACTCAAAGTTAGGCATACATTGTATCAGATGGAAGTGCATGTGAATCAATGTGGCAATGGGACAGGATTCGGGGAGAGGTTTGTAAATTCCATACCCTCCTTGTCTCCCTAAACCTCCTAACTTGCAAGTTCACATCTATGCCCCACAAAGAATTGCCTCACAACGCCCCACAGCACATCCCCGTCATATATTGAGAACATCTCCCGATGAGAACACCTACCTGGTTCTATATCCTTTCTACATTTGAGGACAAGGCAAATCGAGTTGGCACATTGGGTCTAGAATTTGCATCTCATATTATTTCCTGTTATGTATAAACAAAATAACATGAACAAACATAAAAAATTTCTAATCATTTGATTGAAACATGTAGAAAATACATAAACTATCAATTATTTTCCACACAAGATTCAAAACATAATGCATAATATTCCAAAATGTGTATTATTGCTTGGGTTTAGCCTAATACCATACCTATATGGATTGTAAAACCCCAAATCCGTCCCCACCCCAAAATCTGTTTTTTTTTTTTTCAAAATTCTCATATATACTTAAAATTCATATTATATTCTTTTGAGAGAAAAATTCATATTATAATCATTATTAAATTTGGCTTGAATGTTGTATTTTAATAAATTGTCATAGGTTAAAATTTCATACTAATAATTTTCAATTCATTTTTCATAAAAGTATAATATTAAAGTCATTTTAGTTAATTTTATTAACACACAATATTCTGGTCATTTTAGTGTAATTTAGTTCTACTATTTAATATCCGATCATAATCGGAATTCCATCGGAATCCGATAGATATTGGATGGATTGACCTATTTGAATCCGAATATAAATGAGTGAATTGAATTATAGCAATGAATTGGAATCTGCTCCTCACAATTTTACAGCCACATCCCACCGTATATTAGGAACATCTCCCAGGAATAACATACAAGATGTTTACGATGTGCGGCAGATATCTGATGTGAGATCGGTGTGAGGAGCGGAGCAGATCCGGACTCGGCTGATACATGTTCAAACATACGTTCCCTATAAAGGCAAAACTACCCCATCTTTTGAATTTTTGGCACGTATCAGCCTTAGAAGAATACAATAACATTGCACCGGTATTCATTGACCAAAATCTTACTGGCTATGCAAAATCGAACCAGTATGTTTTCGGAAAACAAAATCCTCGAAGTTGACTGATGCATGTTGAAAGAGATTTGGGATTTCGATCATGGCTCTTCTGTCATCTGTCCACAAATCCATCTTGGAGGGCTCTTATCCGGCAAACATTTTTGATTCTTCGCCTGTTTCCTCTGTTGCTGCTCGATATCTTTCGTCCACGGGAGTCGGTTTTCGATCGAGGATCGATGGAAGCTCGTCGAAAGAAACAAAATTTGGTCGGAATTCTGTTCAAATAAAAGCTCTTGCTGGTGGGTTTTTCTTTTATTTTATAATTATTTATAATTTGCTCCTTTTTATTGATGGACTGTTTGGTTTGAAGACTGAGAAAATAGGTTCAGAAGTGTAACATTTTGTTAACAATCAGCGGATTAGTTATTTCATTAAGGACCCGTGAAAACAATGAAATCTTGAGTATGCTTCCAGAAATAGAAGACTAATTCAATCCTCTATGTGACAGATCATACAAACACATCTGAGGTTCCTCTACTGTCGCGCTCAGAGGTTCATTTTCTTCATCTTTATACTCCTTAAAACTTTAAACATTTAACGATGCCTTTTATTCTGAAATTTCTATTTACGATTTTTAGGTTGCATTTCTATAAGTGATATGAAACAAATTTGTCTGTTAAATAAAGTTGAAATTACAGTTATTGGCTCTTGTGGGTTTTCTAAGAGTTATGTAAAAACTAGTTCCACTGTTCATTCATTACAATACCCCCTCCCCCAACACACACACAAACAAAAAAAAAAAAGGAAAGAGAAACATAGGAATAGAAGAAAACGTTTATGGTATGAAACACTAGCTCCTTTATATGCCCGTGGACCAAGAACTCCTCATTCTAATGGTCCTCTTGACACCTTCCCTTTTAAGAAAATCAGCACTGCCATTGGTTGATCTTGGAAAACCTGAGCGAGATGTTCAACCTGTTTGCCAATGAATACTCTAGATTTTTGGGAAGACCTGAATGAGATGTTCAACCTCCGGAAACAAAGTGTTGCTTTGGGAAGGTGTTTGGGTTGGAGAGGTTCCCCTTGGTGAAAGGTTACAATTTATTCACTTTCAGAAAATAAAAGAAGAGTGATTTCTTCAGATTTTATTGATAATTCTTGTGACCTGGGTCTGAGGAGATGTAAAGGCGCTCGCTTCACCTTGCGCCTTGCGCCTCAGGCGCAAATTGACCCCTGCGCCTTGTGCTTTTAAAACACTGGTTGCACCAAATTGAGATAGAGGGAGATTCTAAATTGTTGGTTGATATGTTGCAATCAGGTAAGTTGGGAACCTGGATCTATAGACAGCCTATAAGGGAAATCCTCAATACAACAAGGGAGATTGGTGCTTGCTTCAAATGACAAGGAGATCGGCTAATGGTTTAGCTGATACGTTGGCTAAACAAGGGACTGTGAGGGAGAGAATGTTTTGTGCAGTTTTGTAAGAAAGATTACTGGGGACTCAACACCTGTTTAGGGGTTGACAGTTGTACTTAATTCTGGAAAGTTGTACTTAATTTTGTATAATGAAGTTACCATTTCCAATAAAAAATATATATGATGAAGCAGTGGCCAAGGAAGTTCGGTTAGGGAGCATCCAATCAATTACCACCCAACAATCACCTTCCACCTCTATGCCTTTTCACTTGATGAGAAAACCAGCCTGATCCTTGCAACATAGAAAAAAATTCTGTCTAAAAAGAATTTCCTTATCCTACAGGCCCTGAATAGCTTATAAGTTATACCACATGTCCCATATCTTGTCACTTAAAAGATGAACCCAGATTTCCCAATGAACATCCTTCATAGACTCTCTTGATCCTCTATATTTGGACATATGGCAACACAGGAGATCCTGTAAGTTTTGTCTGTTATGCAGCTACAGGACCAGCTTTTGCTTCCTTATCTTAATGTTCATTTGTTCTGTTTAAGCTACCATCTTTCCAGGTATCTGTTTTACCTTTTGAAAACTGCTAAGCATATAACCTTTTGGATCAATTCCTTGCACTAAAAGAATTTCACTTTGTTGATTGAGAAACTGAGGTTTCAGCTTCTTGATCAAGCCCGGTAATGTAGATTGAAAAAGATTGCTTCAGTTAGGTTGGGTTTTCTTTATATATACTGATTTATCACATTTCTTTAATTAGATAACTAATCATATTCAATCTCCAAGTTTTATCAATAATAATTAATTGATGGCTGCCCAGGTTTTTGAAAGGTTAACCGCAAATCAAGAGAATAGAAAGAGCAAGCAGCATTACCTGGCAATGTACTCTAGCATCTTTGGTGGAATCACAACGGAACCTTCATTAATGGTGATCCCCATGGATGATCATATGGTCCACAGAGGGCATGGTGTTTTTGATACTGCAGCTATAATGGACGGGTAAGAGATTAAGGCTTCCAAAATGCATATGTATCTGCATGCTAGGGGATCTCCATTTGAAACAAAATAATGTAATAAATCAAGACAGCCACCCAACTTACCAAGACACGATATCATCCAATTTTATGTTTTATCACCTCACAGGTTGCATGTCAAGTTCCCTCAGCTTTACTTGTAGTTGTAGACAACACCAGTATCTTTTTTACATGATATTAAGGTACACGTTAGGTGTCCATTCTTAATGTTACCATACCATTAATATGCTGACAAGGCCTAAGGGTCTTAGCAAGATCCATATGCATATTAACCATGGTCCATAAGATTAAGAAACCATTTGATAACAGCTTAAGTGGCTGAACTGAATGACTTATTTCTTGTCTTTTATTGGATAAAAATAATTAAATAGTTTCTTTTTTTGGTAATGAAACACTAATATATTTGTGGGTATAGAAATCAACCCGATTTCAGCTTCAGTCGTTAAGGTGTGTTTAGTTTGATAGAAAATAAGAGAGGAAAATAAAGCTAAGGGAAAATTCTCTTTTCCTCAGCTTTCTGTTCCTTTCTTGTTTTCTGTCAAACCAAACGCAGCCTAAGGAGTTGACAATCTCCCTAGTAACTTCTTCACTAAAACACAAACAATAAATCATTCAGTTTAGAGATTTCAGCTGCTAATTAATGCAGTTACATAACATGGATAGGAATCAAAATGCTCGATTAATGTTTTCATGCCTTCAACAGCGGAGCATATTGTCCTCAGCTTGAGTTCTGGGGCATTTTTGTTTCTGCACATGCCATGGCTGATAGAGTTATAACCTTTACTATGTTTTTGTTCCTATTTTGTCGTGCTGGTTTCTTATATTGTAATGGAGTTTATTTTCTCAATGTTTTTATGGTCAAGTTCTTCTGAGAATCAACTCATCTGGATGACTTCCAAGCTATTTCTTTTAAGCATGTTCTTGAACAATGGAATAATATTTGTTTCTTCTTGACTTTCTTATTCTATGTTCTGCCAGTAATTGAGTTTCCCTTTATCTTTGCCACATCCCAGATATGTTTATGAACTGGATCAGCACATTGACCGCTTCCTAAGGTCTGCATCCATGGCCAAAATCAGCCTCCCCTTTGATAAGAAAGGCATAAGAAATATTCTCATACAAACTGTAGTTGCATCCAAATGTAAGCAAGGATCACTTCGATACTGGGTTTCTGCAGGACCTGGTGATTTCCAACTGTCTCCATATGGTTGCCACCAACCTGCTCTTTATGCCATTGTGATTAAAGATCAGTCCCCTCCAGATTGGAGTGGTGTTAAAGTAATTACTTCATCTATCCCAATAAAACCCCCACAATTTGCTACCATGAAGAGTGTAAACTATCTACCAAATGTGTTGTCCAAGATGGAGGCCCAGGAAAATGGTGGTTTTGCAGCAATTTGGTTAGATGATGAAGGGTATATTGCTGAGGGGCCCAACATGAATGTGGCATTCGTGACAAAGGAAAAGGAGCTAGTGATGCCTTGTTTTGACAAAATTCTCAGTGGATGCACTGCAAGAAGAGTGCTATCTCTTGCAGAGGGACTGGTAAGAGAAGGAAAGCTAAGCGAAATTTCAGTAAGGAATCTGACAGTAGAAGAAGGAAAGATGGCTGATGAGATGATGCTGATAGGAAGTGGAGTTCTTGTTCGTCCTGTGTTGCAATGGGATGATCAAGTAATTGGAAATGGTAAGAGCTTCGTGCAAACTGTTACCTAAGAAACATAACATGCTTTGTACCCAAGAAAGAAAAGCTTGTTATATGATAATATCCTCTTATACATAGAGATAATGCATAGATAGATATAGATACAGATACAAAATGGGGTATGAAAATCAATTAAGCAATTCAATACGGTATTAAGGCCATGTTTGGGAGTGCTTGAAAATAAGTGCTTATTTGGGCCATTAAGCACTTAATTGGTATTTGGGAAATAAGCCCGAAGTAAGTGCTTATTTTTTAAGCCCAAATTTTCAGCTTTTTTTTAGTGCCTATACAATAAGCACTTATTCAATTTTTTTCTTCCAAAATTATCTCTAGTTGAATTTTAAAATACCACTTATAAAATTATCCCTAATTGAATTATATATATATATATTTATTTATTTATTTATATACAAAAGTACATTTATGAATGCACTTTTATGAAAGTACTTCTATGAATGCACTTTTGTAGAAGTGCTTTCGTAAGGGTACTTTCGTAAAAGTGCTTTCAATGGGTATATTTTGAAAATTTGAAAGAAAATAAAGGACAAAATGGTTACAAATGCTTATTTAAGTGCTTATTAGAGAAAAAGACTATCAAACTCCCAATATAAAATAAGTGCTTATTTTTTAAAATAAGCATTTGAAAAAGTTGGGTGTCAAATGAAAATAAGTGTTTATTTTTTAAAATAAGCATTTGAAAAAGTTGGGTGTCAAATGCAAATAAGTGCTTATTCAAATACGCATTTAATTTTAACTTAAGCACTCCCAAATGAAATTGGGTTGATCTTGCATGGTATTCCAGACTGAACAGGCTTTGTAGGATAATAGAATATACTGATTATCTAATATTCTAAGTACTTTTTTTGAGTATTTGATATTCTTACTACTTATACTTGCATATTTGCTTCTTTGCAGGCAAAGAAGGCCATGTGGCTCGGACTCTCCTAAATCTCATTTTGGAGGACATGAAATCCGGACCCAGTACAGTCCGGGTACCTATTCCTTATTGAACTTGTTGATTTCCCTTTCTCATTGTGGTATGACCGCAGCCGGAAGCCCTAAGGCTCAGTTTGGTTGCAGTGCAAATTTCATTTCGAATAGCATAATGCATGGGTGTGCAAATAGGCTGAGTTGTACATTCTGATTTTTCTTTTATTTGCATCAGATTTGACTTTGTTTTATTTGTTTGTGAAAGTAAAATGATGTTCCACCCACCTTATATGCAAGGGGATGTTAGATGATGTTGTCTCTACTTTATACGATAGATAATTGATTCAATTGAAATAGGTGGAAGGGGATGCAAAAATGCAGTGCAAATGAGACAAAAATACCAAATTTTGTATTGGATAGGAGTGTAAATCATATTTAAAATAAAGGGAAAATTCTCAATAGGTACCTTGTACTTTAGGTCGAGTGCCAATTTAGTACCCAAACTTTAAAATACGACAATCTAGTACCCAAACTTCTAAAATGGATGCAAAGCTGAATAGGTGCAAAATTTCTATCCAGTTCAGATTTGCACTACAAGCAAACAGAGAATAAGGCTGTGTTTGGAAACAATGCAAATAAGTGTGAAAGCAAATATGTAGAGTGTAAAATGATCCGTATAAATTGCAAAGCTGGGTTAGCTTTGCATTAACAAATATACCTTACCAAAAAGACTTTTAGCTATAATGGATGCAAACACGAATTCCAATAAAGCATATGCCTTTTTTTACCAAAAGCCCACTTGAATGCAAATTTACTTATTTTTTATTGATGTACTTTTACATCTTATTGTCAATATACATATGCATCCGAAAAAGTGTTTCTGTCATTTGTCAATGCATAAATGTAATATTGCCAAACATAGGAAAAAGTGAACTGGAGTGCAAGTTTACCCTGAATCGGGATTTACACTCCATTTGCATCATTTCCAAACACAACCTAAGTTGCAAACCTAAGCTATAAAGTTTACAACATTTCATGAAACTTCCTTATTTAAAATAAGTGGAATAATAAAAAAAAAACAAGTAGAAAACTAATTTCTACTATCAATGTTTTCAACTTGTTGTTGACCTAGACAATCGAATCATTCGAACAATCACTTGATCATAATTTTGGGTTCAATCATAAAACCAAATTTTTTTTTCAAAAACTGTTAACCCATTCAATTCGGCCATTGGATCATGGGTTAATTTCCAAAAGCCATAACTTTGCGATTGATTATTTGATTGGAGTGGCCTATCAATTTTGGGTAGTTTTTCCAGATGTACACATTCTAAGGCTCATTGCCTTGATATTTTTGCCTTTTTTTACCTCAAAACCCAATTCTTAGCATTCTTTTTATAAATAAATAATAAAAAATGGAAACAAACATATAAAATAATAAATATTACATGTAAAATATGTTTATACATTATTTTATTCATACAATATATCTTTATATGTTTTATATACAATATGATGGTATGTCATAGTTTGATTTGTTCTACCTGAATAGTTGAACCGGTGACTTGCAACCTAGAGGCAAAAACAGTTCAGCCTCCAAGTTAGTTTTTAAAACAATGTTTACTATAATGATTTTTTAAATAAATGGCTCCCTAAACCACATTTGGAACTCCTACCTGTGCGGCCGTGCCTACCCACTGGAAACTATAGTCATACATTAGGAACATCTTCCATACTTCTATGTTGTCATCATGGAGAGATGTTCCAATGTGTGGTTGTAGTGTCCTATGAGTAGGGTAGGACTGTAAACATATTGGATTCAGATTGGATTAGCAAAATCCAAGTTGATCCAATTATTGAAAACTTGCATCTGAATTAGATCCAAAATCTAATTGGATTTAAATACCTCATATTTGAATTTGAATCTTTAGGATGCGTTTGGAATCAGTGTAAAAGTATATCGATGAAGTTTTACATTGAATTGTGAAAGTGACCGTTGCTTTTTGAAAAACACGATGGGTGAAGAGTGTAGAGTTTTACATAAATAAAATTGATGTAGTGTTTACATCAATAATTGATGTAAAACTTTACGTTTGATATGTTTTACATCAATTATCGACGTAAAACTCCACTCCATCCAAACCTACGCAAAATTGAACCGAAGTGGAGTTTTATGTCGATCATGATTACTCTCATTCCAAATGCGGACAAAGTCAAACCGGTGTAATCTTTTACGCCGTTCTTGATTTACACCAATTCTAGACGTAGCTTATGGATTTAGATTTAATTCAACACTGCTTTAATTCTTTTAAATAAAAAAAAACTAAAAAGCTAATTACTTTTCAATTTTTATATATAATAAATTAATATAAAATATAACATATTGAATTTATTACATATATAAATTTATATATAATATAATATATAAAAAATATACTTTTATAATTTTAAATATAATTATATAAAATTTATATATTAAAATCAATAAATATTGTAATATAATTGGATTTAGATTTTAATTAGAGAGAATGGAATCAAATCCACATCCAATCCGATTATTAATTAGATATATATTGTAAAATCCAAATTCGATCCAACTTCAGTATTAATTAGGGTGTAGAGTTTTTAAGAATCATTGATAGGCTAGAGGTGTGGGTAGGAGATGTGGGCTACCCTAAACCACCTCACGTGGAGTCTTTAAAGGGAATAAGATACTCATTAATCAGCGAACTAGGCACGACCCCCGTACTTAGTATGGGGCCATTAGTATGAACTATTTTAAATTTTCAATTTTTTAAATCATAGGTGTTAAGTTTTCATTTGATTTTTTGATAGATTTTTATTTAATTTAAGAGACTTACCATATTTTATCTAGCATTTGACCCTGTTACGGGGCAGTCACATGTATGTATCATTTTGGTTTTTACACTTTTTTTTTGTTTATTACAGTAATATTATTTTGTTTGAGTTTCACTATTTATTTAATAATTATATTTATATTTGAATTAAGAAATTGAATTACAAAGATTTAATTAGTGAATGGCCCCACACTGAGTATGGGAAAATTCACTCAAGTTTGATTTCCAACATTTGTATTAATTGTTTAGTCATTTTATTAAATTTTTATTATTTTCATTCATAATTCATTTATTAATTTTTAACCATTCTAAGCTAATTCATTATTTAATAAATTTTTAATAGTTTAAGCACATTTACGAATTTTTAATCTATTTTAGCAATTAATTAATCTTTTTTGTTATTTAATAATATTGTTAACTATTTTAGTAATAAATGAAATATTTGTTTAAGATTATTTCTTTTTAAAATATTGACTTAGTTAATTATTTAAAGAATACTATTATTTTTAATTAGTGTTTTTTATTATTGTTATTATAGTTCTTATTAATAGTGATTATTATTATAAAGCAAATTGATTTCCAACCAAGTATAATTATTATTTCTTCTATTTGTTAATTATTATTTTGCATTTACGAATAATCATTAATGATTATTATTAATATTATTAATTACTATTTATAAATATTGATTATTAATTAATGTGTACAAAAGAAGTAGTAGGACCTAGTATTCTTAGTCGAACCATTGTCTTCTCAGGCAATGGTTCATGCGAAACTCAACCACAGGTGGCGTCATCAATAGTGATGGTATGACCTTTCTGGCCACCGGAGGCCAACCATAAATGATCGTCAGTCGTTGGCAATCTCATCTAACCTTAAAGAAGAGATAGTGGTTGCTTGTATTTAAAAAAAGACACCCGTATCTGGCTTCCTATACACTGGTCGTATGAACTTCCCGGCCACCGACGATCACCTATAAGTGATTGCCCGTGGTCGAGAATCTCATTTAACATTAAAGAACAACCGGTATTCATCTATATTAAAAAATGACTCAGATTCTACATTCTTCTCAGGCATGGGTTTGCAATAACAGTAAACAGAGCTGCCGTATTCTACCTTCATATGACCCTCCCGGCCATCGACGACAACCCATAACTAATCACCGGTGGTCAGCGATCTCGTATACATTATAATAGCAGTCGTTGGTCACCGGTAGTTAAAACAAAAACGTCCGGTTTTCTTCTCAGAGGGCCCTGTCTTCTCAGGTAACGATTTGGGCTAAATTTTAACAGGGCCGACTATTGCTACTTGCTATGCCACTAGCGGTCACACAGAAGTTGGGGGTGATGAGTTGGAACAAATGTTTTGACATATATTTTTTCATGAGACAAAGATTTCTTTTAACGCCTAAAGGCAAGTCATTTATAAATGCTCAAGTTATAAAATAGAAAAATTAACAACAATGAAAAATACAACAAAAGAAAGCATGTTAAGTATATTCAGACAAAAACAGGAAACCACAAGCACCTGAGAGAAAAACGAATTGAGAAATACACAAAACCCTTAAGGGGGTATAGAGAAAACAGGTACCATGGCATCCAATCCATAGCAATATTGAAAACGTGAAAATGGGAGAGGTAAGATCGCATCTTGTTACAAAACTCTCCCTAAAGTTCCACCGTCCAAGCATTCAAGGAATGAGCCCCACAGAAAGCCAAAAATGCACAAAATAAATTGTGATTTGTAATTGTAGGTACGTAAAATGTGCAAAAAAACCACCCATCCATGTCATTATAAAAACTGAAACAGTTGGAGCATGAACGTTGCCGGAGAAAACTTGAAGATCGCCGAAAAAATGCTTGCTAGGAATGATAGCATTATTACAATGGATACCCAAAATAAAGGAAAATAGAGTTCAACGTGATAAAATAAATGAAACACAAAATTGAAACATGTTTGCCAAAACTGAAACTCAAAACTTTATAGGTATAAGGTAAAGTGAGATGAAATGTAAAACTAACCTAAGTAGTTGAAGTTGCAAACATCCAAGTAAAAATTCAAATGAAGTGAACTTCTTGTAAGCTTTGAGAAATTACAAATTTGGAGAAGATCGTATGGAAAGACTGTGGAGACTAGAGTAGAATTTAGAGTTTGAAACTGATAGATTGAATGAGAATGTAGATTTCTAGACATGACTTAAGAGTCTAACATGAACGTGGGGGTGAGTTGATTGCAGCAGAATTTTTGAATTTCTCTTACAATTAAGTTCTCTTTGAAAATTTGAACAACCCACTTGATTGAATAAGAATGTAGATTTTTGGATGTGATGTAGAGTCTGACATGAAGGTGGGGGTGAATTAGTTGCAAGAGAATTTTTGAATTTGTATTCAGTTCTCTTTGAAAATTTGAAGTCCTAGAAAATTTAGGTTGCCACATGTTTGAATGGTGATAGTAGGTTGTGGGCTTTAACAACAATTTTTTAGAAAATGCCATATGTCTAACTTTTAAAAAAAATGAGAAGGTCACATGTTTAAATGGTAAGGAACTATATATATATATATATATATTAGATTTGTCATATGTGTCTTATCACACTTAAAGAAACCAATTGACACTGACACTGTCAGTGTCTTATCACACTGACAAAGATTTGTCATATGTGTCTTATTCTTAGACACTGACAAAGAATCTATCTTTCGCGCATTTCCCATTTAATAACAAATGCTTGTTCATTGAACCAAAGAGTTGCCTCTTTTGTTTCTCTCTCTGCTCCTTTCTTTGCAAGAAAATATATTTTAAGCGATTTAATAATGCTGTCGATGGCTGAGGCAGGCATACTTTATTGGTATAGATGATGTTAACAGAGTATTGACTTAAGAGGACACGTAAGGCAGAGACTTTGTACCTCCCCCAGTTGTTCAGCAATTTGCACAACTATTCCACATGAGATTTCCCCAGGCCATATGCATACAAAGGATGGTTAGGAATTGGAAGCGCAAATTGGAAAATCCTTATGTATTATGTAAATAGGTTAGCCACATGTACATGTAGAGTCATATTTTCCTCTTTTGTTCTCTCATTTTAGGTTTTTTTTTTTTGGTTTAATTTTAGAAGGGAAGTTGATCAATGGGATTTTAACTCGTATTAATCAGCAAATATGGAATTGTGGTTTCCATATTTGTTTTTCATATTCTTAAAGGAGAGGGGAGTTGGTCAATGGGATTGTGGGTAAAGATTGTTTCAGTGGAAGTAAGTAATACCCTTTTTGGACTTGGGAAAGATGAGTTTCCCAAATGAAGAATAAATACCAAAAATCCAAAAAGTCAAAAATACCCATGGTTAAGACTTGAGAGTTTCTCCAATGATGGCAACCACATTGGGCCGAAGGGGTAAAAATGGCAAACGGTTAAAAAATAACAATTTACTTGGAAAATTGGGTGAGGCAAAAGAACATGGAAAAGTTAAAAAGCCTCATCTTTACTTGAATACAAATTTTAACAAAAAAAACATGGATAAATACACTTATCCGATAAATATTTAATTTCATAATGAAAAACGAATGGAACTTTAATATCAACTAGTATTGAAAGAAGGGCTTGCATGGATTACCTTGTTGGAGTGTTATATGACCATCACTTTGTAGATGGAATATTTAAAAATATATACATTTTTTTATTGGCCAACTAGCCTAGTTAAGCTGTCAAAGGTTGCTTAAAAAACATAAAAAAAAAGGCTGTCAAAGGGCGCCAAATGCTAGATTTTCTTTTGTTTATTAATCTATAGGGTGTTTGGCATCTAGGACTACTTGAATGGGGGAAGATCATTGAGTAGAAAACAAATCCATGCAATAGGATATTTAAACATGAAATACATGGCTTAGAAGAGCCGGGATCACCTGCCAATAAAATATGTTCCAATACCCTCTTACCAACATCATCTCACACCGTACATTTTTTGCATGACGGATCTCACTTTTATGATAGGCCCTAATTTCATAGTGAATAAGTTGATAGGGTGTTGGAATGTGTGTTATTGGCAGTAAATCCAACTCAGCTTAAAAGCCATATATAGGGAGGGCCCAGATTGATGGTTGATGGTTGAGTTGCTTTTATCGAATTGATTTGGAGAAACCATCTATAAAGAAGCTTCAGCGGAAAACTATATTTTTGACTTTCAGGCAGTTATGTTGGGATTTTCGATCCAGATAGGCCCCACCTTGCAAGGCTAGAGGTGCTGCATGAAAGCCCTCCAAATGGGCATATAATAGCCAAAGTAGAACTGGATGAATTATTGATTTGTTTTTTAGTGTGAGTCATTAGGTGGTTGTGAGCTCTTGCTGGTTGGCTGAAGTTGAATTAATTACCATATACATAAAAATTTCATTATTTAATTGTTTTATCCATTAAAAACAAACCAAAACAATAAGTCATTCAGAGGAACCATTTCAGTTTATTATCAAACAATTTCTTAGTTATACAGGAAGGAGCGCTTCTCTTGTAGGAAGGGGAGAGGTGTTTTCACCCTTTCTCCATCTTTTGCATAAAAAAAAATCAAAATAACTTGCTACATCGGCATTTTAGCATAAAGAACCAAGTATCATGTTTCTTAACTAAATCTTTCAATTGAAAAAGTATAATATTTTAAACATCTGACAGGCTGACCCACTATGGACATGGTAAATTTAAATCGAGTTTTTCATTTGACACCCTTTTTACTATGTTTTTATTTGAGACCCTTTCCTTGGCCAAACCAGTGGGTCTCTTCAGAATTTTGAGATTTGCCACAAGGCCCCTCCCCATGGAAGAAATGGGTGGACTAGTGCAAAGAATTTCAACACCATTCTTTTCAGTCTTCTTGTCAAAGGTGAATTTGGAATGCCCTACTTGGGGTTTCCAACATTAATAAATACCCATTTCTAATTACCTTTATGGTCAAAAGTCCAAATGATGGCTCAGTTGGTAAGTTCTATGGCTAATTTTGGTACAGACTTGACCCACTTGGCATCAAATCTTGGAAGGAGAATGCAAACAAGGGAACAAATGGGTAATGTAGACAACATTATTTTATATAAATATAAATTATATAAAATAATAATAATCATCATCATCCAGACCTTATCTCAACTATATGAGGTCGGTTACATCAATCCTATTTCGCTGGTCTATTCTGCTTAATGTCAGGATGAATTGGGGAGGCTTCACTGTAATACATAATCAGATCAAATATATTGTGTTTTTTAAAGTTAATATTCAAAGTAAGAGCAGGCTTTTAAATATTATACTAACATTAAGGCTTCAAATGTCAAAAAGCATAAACATTGTTTAAAGCTTCACCATGGGCACAGTTGGCGTAATCGCTTGCATGTTTGTTTGTTGCAGGTGAGAAACTGAGAACAAAGAAGTAGCTTCCTTGTGCATTCCAAGAAGGCAGAGAAGCCCTTTACACAAATATGCAAACATAACCAAACAAGGTACATCACGCAGAAGAAGACAAACCGAATGCGGAAATGAGGAATCCGTTGAACATTGACAATAGATAGAAGATGCGAATCGATTGATTTTACTCTGATAAATCACGGATAAACTTGCCACGTGTTCACATTCCTACAGATATTTTATGCCAGCTGTCTAAAACTGGATTTTACCTTAAAATATGGAGTTGACATTCGAGATTTCGGATACTTCAGCAGCAGACGTCTCGAGATCATATTCAAACCATTTGTGATTTACCCGTAGACATTGGCTTTTATTTTCCGGGATGCTATCCAGAGTGGGACCCAATGAATGGACTTAACACGTGTCACTATCCTTTTAAAAGAAAGGAAAGGAATAAAAGCAAATAATAATAAGGGGGAATCGTATTCGTATACCATCCCTCAACGTAAACTTTCCACCTCAGTCAATCAGTTGGAGTGGGACCACACAAACAGATTGTGATCGGGCAATCTGAACCATTCGATCGATCTACTTTTCGGAAGTAGGTCTTATATATCACCCAATGTCCTTTGCATCTCCATACCAACCGGGGTCCACTCATCGTCTTTTCACTTTTCAGTCTTGATGGATCGATTTAACATGCTTATCGAATCTAGGGACCGTGATCCATTAACGATCTGAATCGTAGATGGCGTGAATTTTGTTCCGTTTGATGCGTAGTTACGGCGGGCCCACAGATAGTGAAGTACACGTCAGATTGGACGTGTGATACTTTCGTGGGACACGTGTCAATGTGGTGTTGTTCCACATCTAGCTTTTTTGTTAACACTTAACACGACTCTAAAGTCTAAACGAGAAGAGAGAAGGGATGAGCCGACGAGCGACCAAAAGCGAAAAAATTCGGTTGGAGCAGAGAGTAAAAAACTGCGGTTCTGAAAAAGGGAGGGAGCGCGAGCGAGCTTCTGAAACTCTTTCTTTGTTAGGGGCTTAGGGCTTTTGACCTGCTTTGCTTCTAGGGTTTCTATTTCCTTCTGATCTTCGACGGTTGGGAATTTGAAGCATTAGCTGGGATTTGCTCGAATTCTTTGCGATCTAGCCGGAATATTTCTGCCGTTCACTGGTTTCCGATTTCTTGACGGCGTTTTCAGGATAGTTTTCGTTTGCAAATATGGTGAATTCCTTGGTCGAACGGGCTACAAGTGATATGCTGATCGGTCCCGATTGGGCGATGAACATTGAGATCTGTGATATTCTAAATCACGATCCTGGGTATGCGATTTGTTCTTCACCTGTTTTGTTTATTTTGTTGGTTGGTGTTTCTCAATTTGTTATTCTGTATGGATTCGAGGTTCATTTCTCTAGTTGCTTGTGTTCCTTGCGAGAAAAAGTCGCTTGTATTAAGTTCAATTCATGGTTGGTGATTCCTGTGCGATTGCTTTGGGGTTGGTGTCTTGGGATGGGGATCAATATTATCGATTAAGGGAAATAGCGGTTTCATGCTTTTGCGTCATTTTATTGTTTTCGAGATTTCTTGAGGGCAGTCAGCAGATTTGGTTAAACAGTTTGCGATTCTGTTTCAGAAAGTTGACACCTTTGGTTAACAAAACTGTCCTCTGTTCATATTTTAGGAGATCTACAATTACGTTTTGACTCATTTGCATCGCTTTATACTGGGTAATTTTATATTTTTGACCTGTAAAAGTTTGTGAATTCACTTCAGACAAAATAGGAAAATCTGGAATGAGGATAAACAGAAAACTGAATTGCGTGAAATTTGTAAGATTTGGTAGAATTCAAAATTTCAGCGGTTGTAACTTCAGTGGAATTTGCATTTTGATCAGATGTCTCCTTCTTACTGAAATTCTGGTGGAGTTTAGTGATTACCGAGTTAGGGGCACTTCCTTAAAAAGGTTCCCCGCAGTAAACAGGGGCTGCTTTCTTTCTATTTTCTTCCTTTCTTTTTTGTCCCCCCATTTTTGTTTCTATCTTTTACCATCAATGATGCTAATCTTAGTAAAGTCTTTAGTATGTGAGTTTTAAAATCGTTCAATAAATTATTTCAGAAAATTGGTTCTTTCCTATCTTTGCTTTCCTAGGAGCTCCTTTTCTTCATTGTAGTTATTGTAAGTTGTAACTTTTAAGGAGATGGCCTCTTTCAAGTTCACTATTCTAACTTGTAAAAAGATTTTGCACTTTGGTCTCCATTATTTTCTTATGTGATCTAGGAGTTTACCCCAAAATAGCAGTTAATTTGGTTCTTGAAATGGGTCTAAGCAAGCTGGAAAGTGGGATCAAGTCACAAAGCCATCGGCTTGTTAGCTTGAGAATTGAGAACAAATTTAGTTTTCCCCACAAAATTCTGGAAAAAAATCTTGAGGCTAACTAATCAATTAAACTAGTGAAAACAGAACTGATAAAGTGGGTGAAGATGAGCTGAAGTAGAGTTAACAGATTTGTTGAGTAAGTAGGCAAGGCTGGTGAGGATTGGCTGTTCTACTATTAAAAGAGAACTACAAAAAGTTAGTAATAAAAAGATAGAAAAAGAAAAGGGGGGGGGGAACGACGGGATAATAGGAAGTGAAAGAGATAATTCAACAATGCAGAAATAGAAGAAAATTAGAATGAAAGAGCTGACCTGACTCCTGAGATAATAATGCAAAGATCATTAAACTATCATCCAATAAAAACAGAAATACCTGTAGTAGACCAAAGATAAGTCCTAATGGAGTCAACATCATTAAGTTTTCATAGGAGTATGGACCTACAAATGGAACCAGCACCTTAGTTGATTGAATCTCCTATAGAGCCCATGGCCTTTAGGACTAGGCCTTCTCTTTAGCCCATTTTTCCTCTCTATCATTATGATTTATGACATGTAGAGTATCTATTGATATCCGTTTACTTACCATCTTTAATGCCAAACCTGCCTCCTTTCTAGGAATGGCAACGGGGTGGGGCACCCCCTCCCCGTCCCCGCCCTGAAGTCACGATACCTTGCCCCGTACCTGCCCCATCCTCGGTGGTGGGGCAGGTTCGGGGCGGGGCATCCATTCCCCATCGGGGACGGGGAATCCCTGAATTTTCCCCGCTCCAAGGCAATTACTTAAAAAATATCTATTTTATGGACAATTTATACATAGGATATAGGAATTTGGGGGTATTTTAGAATTGAATTATAATACTTTAGGGATAATTCAAAAATAAAATTATGGGATCCTAGGATTTTAAAAAATTTAGGGAAAACTTAGAGATATTTTAAATATCAATCTTAAACCTAGATACATTTTACTAATTTACCTTTGGGTTCGGGGCGGGTTCGGGGAATTATATACAAAACCCGCCCCGCCCCGTACCCGGTTCGGGGAAAAATTATTTTCCCTGTCCCCACCCCGTCCTTGTTTAGGGTCGGGGAAAACCTGCCCCATTCGGGGCAGGGCCCCGGTTTTACGGGGGAAATTGCCATCCCTACTCCTTTCTTTTTTAGGTTGTTTTATTACTTGAGGTTTTTCCTCACATGGTTACACATCTCATTTTTGTTCTTCATCAATTTAACATTACATTATCAGCCCACAAATGGGGGAAGGCAATGGTAAGAGGAGTGTCCCCTGACCATAAGTTGGATGATGGAATTTTATATGATTACCATTTCCTAGATTTATGATCAATGGCATGCTCACATAGATTTATTGAAATGAGATAATAAGACAGATGTACAACCCTTAACTGAATGGTCAGAAGACTCAGAACAACAAAGCGTTTTACAATATTACAAGCTAGCCCAGGTTTGGTTATACATCCTAGAAGCTTGCAAACTGGAATTGACATATGCAAATGCTTCTGCCCCATCTGTTGGAGATCATCCCATGTTTGCTATGAATAACAATGTTCCGTCACTTAGATAGTTCCAAAGGGATTTTCAGAGCTATTTTTCCTATGAGAACCAGTTTTTCCAAGAAATGCATCTCCTATCATTGAGTAGCAATTTAGACAAACTTTAAGGTTGAAAGGACAAAACCCTTCTAAAGATGGAAAAGTAACCTTGATCAAGGCAGTCATGAGTTCAGTGTCCAATATCTAGGAAGCTGCTTATTGTTTTCAAAAGGTAATTTGGATGAAATTGATAAAATCCAAGGAAACTTCCTATGATTGTGGAAGGCGAAAAGAAGAAAGTAGCTTGGATAAACTAGAGGAAATTATGCAAGCCAAAGAAAAAAGGGGGCTATTGGTGTCAAGAAAGCAGAGGACATTGACATGGTAGCTTAGCAAAGTTTGGATGGAGAATCCTTCACAAATCGTAATTGTATCCCAAGCAATGGGATCTTTTGGAAATGGAGAGGTATCCCAAGCATTGTTCTGAAAATCGGAATTGTATCATAAATTGTAGAGAAAGTTTAATCAAATTGAATCATGAATCATATTGTAAATTGATATTATTTCTATTTTTTTAAACTTGTCAATATATATATATATATATATATGTATAAATATGTATATAGGAAAGTGATTTTACCCTATTTTTAATCCGTATCTACCATATATGTACATAAAACAATAGAGTTTAGCACTTGAACGATATAAGCCTAAGATGATATTAATCAAGTTTGAAAAGTCAAATAATTCATGTATAATAGCTCTTTAACCTACATATGATGGATCTCCCTTGACAAAACTAAATATAAACAAAACAAAAATGACAAAGCAGAGAACTAATTCTTAATTGAATTTATTTGAGTCATAGTTAATTGTATAAATCACAAGATTTATGAATCAAATCATGGATTTATGGTTTTTGGTTGAAAAGGATTCAGACATAAGATTTAAATTGAAGCCCTTGGTGTTCATGATTGAAATCGTGAATCATATCGTAAATCATAAGACTTTGACAACATTGATCTCAAACTCTAAAGAGCTTATTGCAAAACAAACAAATCAGATGGACAGCTGGAAATAGGAGCAGGATATACTTCTCCATAGATAACTGAACTCTGAATTGCCTTCTGCTATTGCTTATTCCCCCAAACCAATTCAATCTAGTGAACTTGAATTAAGGTGGAAAATTCATTGATCGTGATACAAATGAATGGGGTCGACAAAAACTGAAATCTGTACTCCTGGTAAGCAAAACCAGAGTGGCTGGCTGGCTGCCGAGATTGGATTCAGTCCTCACAAAATGGTGCTCGCACCGTAATCACAGTCACTTGCAGCTGTGCATTGGGAATATCTCCCCGTGAATAAAAACATACAAGTACGGAGATATTCCCAATACACGGTTGCAAGTGGCTGTGAAACCGTTTTGTGAGGACTGAATCTGACTTCCTGGCTGCCCCTTACTATCCCAACCCCACCTCTTGAAGATGGGATGTGGTGGGAGCATCAGAAAATGGCCAATTCACCATAGTGTTCAATCTAAAAGTCTTGTTTCTATGGCTCCTCCTTAAAGGCAGACTTCCCAAAAGTAGAAAACTACATGAAAGAGTACAAATCAGAATAAGCATGCTGCAGATGGATGGTTCCTTTGCAGTCTCTTGAGATAAACTTAGTATCCAAGAGACTGCAAAGGTCATGCAGTCTCTTGAGATACTAGGTTTATCTCTTGATAAGTATGCTGCCAAGCTTAATGGCAAATTCTTTAGGAAATTGCTATTTTCATTACTTCCAAGAGTCCAACTGAGGCCACTTACAGTTACAGGTCATGTGCTCTGCATCCCCTTTTGCTTGATTTACATTCTGGAACTGTGTGTGCTACTCCATTGCTAACACATCCTTTTTTCCCTGTTTTTTTTTTTTTTATAATTATTATTTTTCCCTGTTTATGGTAGCATCTGAATTATTCTGTATTTGACTTGTAACATTGATAATTGTTTTGGTTCATCAGGCAAGCAAAGGATGTTGTTAAAGGCTTAAAAAAGCGTCTTGGAAGCAAGAATCCAAAGGTCCAACTTCTTGCCCTCACAGTAAGCACCATAAATGCTGAAATCTCTGTTTTTTTGATAATTAACTGAAATCTCTGTTTTGAATTTATTAATCTTATTTTTTGTGAATTTGGATGGCAAATATTTCATACTTTTTTTTGGGTACCCAAAGCTATTGTATTTTGGAGCATATATTTCTTTCATGTTCTTAAGCTATTTTCAGAAGGTCTAACCTTCAGTTGGCTAATTTAATTTTACTTGCTTGACATGCTAGCTACTGGAGACATTGATAAAAAACTGTGGGGACATTGTCCATATGCATGTTGCAGAAAAAGATATTCTTCATGAAATGGTGAAGATAGTAAAAAAGAAGGTTGGATTATTTTATACATTTTCACTTATGTTCTGTTTCTCTCATTCCTGAGCAGGGCATATAATGTTTTCCATTTGTTTGCTGCAGCCTGACTTTCATGTCAAGGAGAAAATACTGACTCTAATAGATACTTGGCAAGAAACTTTTGGAGGACCAAGGGCAAGATATTCACAATATTATGCTGCATACCAGGAGTTGTTGGTAAGCTTTGAGATTTGGTACTCGGAATAGTTCTCTTTTATTCTCCTTTGATAGATGCCACTCTATTGGTATCTTTCTATGGCATTATACGTATGAATTTACATGTGAAATACAGAATAAATTTTAATTTGATTAGATGCCAATCAGGTAGTGAACATCTTGGTGCATAATAACAACATTGAGAAGTACTGACATACTGGGATTGCTAAAAGGGAAGTAGTTTAGTATTGTTTGTCTTACATTGTCTAACATAACGTGACTTTACATCTCAGCGTGCTGGAGCAGTATTTCCTCGGAGATCTGAGAGGTCTGCACCCATATTCACACCTCCACAAACACAGCCATTATCATCCTATCCTCAAAATCTGCGTAATTCTGATTATCAGCAAGAGGTAGCTGAGTCTTCTGCAAATTCTGAATTTCCAACCCTGAGGTACACCTTTTTTGGTCATCCATCTTTTTAAAGCAAGCAACTTATAACTAGAAAGTCAAGTATACCCCTCACCTCCATAAATATGTCTTGGCTTAAGCTTGTATTAAACTCTGCCAGTTTCTTTCTTATCCATTTATATTTGATTGAATTGGAAGATTTTACCAGTTTTTATGATCCACAAATTGATTACCAGATTGCTTAAAGCATCTGATGATGTATAAAAACCTTGTGCAGTGGTGTCTTAGTAGGTCGAGCATTCCATACCAAGAAATTCTCAAAGGAATTGATTCCCTGATTATATTTTTGGATAATTGTAAGAGTTTTAAATTGTAACCCTTCTCTTGTTCTTATCTTTTTGCATTAGTTATTGGATGAACTAAGTAGACATTTATAGAGGTTGCATTGTGCATGTTGTTTGCTGATGATATAATATCATTTTCATTCAACAAGGAAATCAGTGCCTAATGCACACCCAAGAAAAGGAGCAGCCTTGGTTTGGCATTATGGGAAGAAAGGAATGCTAGAATATTTCAAGAGAAGGAAGGAGCAGCCAGGAACTGAAGGACTGTGTGTTGAATAGGGCAATACTTTGGTTTGGAAAATTTTCACCAATTCTCATATAATAACTTTTGGAGAAACTGGTCAGCAGTAGTGAGGTGTTCTTCCATTAAGAATAAGATAGTTTCAAGGTGGTCTCCTCTGTCTGAAGGCTCATTGAAGCTGAACTTTGATGGAAGTAGCTTGGGCAATCCTGGGTTATCTGGAATGGGGGGATATTCTGAGGAATGGGATTGGAGAGGTTGTTCTGCTCTACTTGGGTCCTTTAGGATTTGGAGATTCTATTAGGGCAGAGCTATTGGCTCCTGTACAAGGTTTGCCATTTGCAAACCAATTGGGGGTAGAACATTTAACCATTGAAGGGGATTCCAAGGTGGTAGTGGGCTGGTTGAAAACTCCCGAGGATACTATATGGTGCTACAAGAATGAAATTAAGAAATTTAATTGGCTGACAAGGAATATGTTGGTTTCTATACAGTGAGTGGGGAGATCAGTAAATGCTTTGGCTGATGTGTTAGCCAAGCAAGGGGTAAAAAATAGGGAAGAACAGTTTTGGGCTCAGATGTGATTTCTGTAATTTATTCCTAGTTTACTTGTAAGCTATTGTGATAGGCTGCAGCTCATGCCTCTTCATGGGATGCTGTATGAAATTACAATTCTAAATCAGGTTTCTGAATTAAAAAAATTTCACTATTACTCATAAGAAAATGCACACCCAAGAAAAGGTGATACTAAAGTACAAGCAAAGCTGGTCCTCTGGCTCCTCCCCATCCCCCATCTAACTCCCAAACACTACTTGGATGCTTCTCACCATTTGAAGGCATTGGAGCTCACAACAACTTGAATGTTGATGCCTTGCCAATATAAGTATATAACCAGTGTTGAATTTGCTGATCATGGGTTGGTAAGGTCTCCTGCTGGTGGTAGCGGAGACTTGGGAGCGAATCCCGCCTGCACCTGGGTTGGGGGATGGGCTACCCCCTGTTGTGTATTCCCTTGAAAATAATAAAAAAAAAACCAGTGTTGAATTTGCTGATCATTGTATCCAAGTGAACAAAACATTCACTCTACTGGCCAAATGCTTGCCACCCTTATGTTGTGTCTGTGCTGCTATGGTTTATGTGCATTTCCTTCCATCCAATTTATGATTGTCTGAGAATATCCCACCATCATAACATTCTTGTATCCCTTCTGCCATTCCTATCATTACTTATTAGGCCTTGGATTAGTAACAACAGCCCTTATGGAACCTCAAATTGAATTCATCCTGAATAGGATGTTGGGATTTGGCCATTAAATAGCACTTGTGAATACCTAGAATTCCTGGATTTCCTATGAACCTATCGGTTTTTTATTTTTTAATTGATAACTGTTCAATTAGTGAGAAATAATACAGATGTACGATCATGTGAAACATACCCATACAGTTTGGGCTGGCTGAGGCTTCCTACTCTTCGTTTATTATTTACATTCTATTTACATGCATGAACCCCAAAACATTTAATTCCTATTCATGCTTTGATTGTCTAGTGCAGTGCATCAGCCAAGCCATTTGCTGATATTTGATTGTCTACGTTGCTAATATTCTCGTCCCTATTTCAAATCCCATTTCACCTGCACATTCTTGTATTTTATGCCCTGCCCACTCTTAAATCCTGTAGTAATGCCAACAGCTTAGCTCTTCTGGAATTTCCATTACCTACCAGTCCAATGTATATGGCTAGTATGGCTCCATGATCATCCCTAAAAACTCTTCCTTTACCCAGAGGCCTTGGATTGCCCAAGCTCTACCTGTCAAAATAATATAATAACATGAACTTTCCCTTGAATTGGGCCACCAACTGGTACCCACCCTTACATTACCGTTTAAATTACAATTTCCCCATTGGGGAATCGGCTCCCAGTACATTTGCATTTTTGCACCCATGAAAGTATGATTTGGCTTGGTTAGGCAATGGTGACATCCAAACTAGTGAAGCTCTACTTCTGGTTGTAGAAGAAGATGCTACCATTTGCCAGCTATTAAGGATGTTGTTGCTGGAGAAAGGGTAAAAGATACCCAAAGTTGTCACCCACCGGATCACTCTCACAAAAATTGATTCCATTAAGGCTTCTTTCAATCTCTCCTTTTCATTGAATATTCTTTTATTCCTTTCTCCCAGATAGTGTATATGACTTTATTTCTTATGATTACTCATAAAAAGTCCAAAGGACCGCTGCCCCAGTTCAACCCATAACATTTTCTCTCTTTCTTGGTGATGTAAAGAAAGATTCTATAAATAGACTATGAATATCTCATGGAGGATTCCACCTGCAACCAATAGAGAGAAGAACAAATAAAGGAAACAATAGGTTGATCATAGAAGGGGGTTCAAAGCTGGTAATTAGCTGGCCGCAAAAAGATGAGATTGGCTGGTGGAAAATTGTCAATGAAAGGAGGAAATTTAAGTTTTTAGCACAAGATATAGCGATCAAGTTGCAGTGGGTTAAAAGGAGTGCAGATGCCTTTGCTGATGTTTTGGCAAAGCAAAGGGTGGGAAGGGCTCAACTCTTTTGGGCTGTTCTGTAATTGCTTTATGTATTTTGTCATCTTAGAGAGAGTTAAGAGAGTTTATCTCTCTCCGGGATGTTCACTTGTATCTTCATTAATTAATGAAAATTTCTGGTTATTGATAAAAAAAGAGCATAACAAATGGTAGATAGTTTCTCCACTTTCAACTACTTTACCTTCAAAAAAAAAAAAAACTCATGGTGGTTTTGGAGGGTTCCAATCAAGATGTCTAGGATTGAAGATTGTGGAAGAAGAGGTTAGTGTTGGCCAGGCTCTAATGATGTCATCAACAGAGAAACATGCAAAATATCCTCACTTGTTTTAACCCAATGTGTCACTTTAACTGAAATCAATTCAATCAACACTTTTATGATCAGTTTTTTCCTTCCCATGCAGACCACAAGATTGCCACCCTTGTGCATCTCCAAAGAATCTTTCCTCCCTTTTTAGGAGGGGAGATTTAAAAGGCTGAAGTAAGCTTTCCTCTTGCAGTCAAGCTACATGAAGATGGGGTTCAGTTTGTAAGAAATAACCTTTCCATCGTGGTTCAATAAGAAATATCCATGATTGAGAAGAAAAGGGCTGAAATAAGCTTTCAACTTTTAGCGATTTTGTTTTAGTTGGGGACTGGGAGGGTTATTTTTTGGTAATGGGGTTCTGTTTGTCAGATGTTTCTTTTTAGGGAAGGACAGGGGTGTTTGAAGGTTCAGTGTCATCTCTTGGTAGTTTCTTCTTATCAGCTCTTGTATTTTCTTTTTTATTTATAGATTTATTTACTATGAAAAAACATTAGCATTATCTAGTTGGTTGGAAAAAAATAATCCATTAGTCCATTAGTTAGCTGTTTCTAGGATAAGGATAGGGAATCATCATTAGGAAAAAGAAGGGTTTCTCTAAGAATGGACCAAGAGATTGTGTGGAAAGAAAATGCTAGGCAAGAAATCTGACCTATAATGCAATGTTTATATCCATTCAAGAAAATTTCTCCAAATGAAGAAATCAGAGTAATGTCCTGGGTATTGCAATCTTTTTCACATTATCATACATGCTAAAAGTACTATTTGCCTATCTAATATGAGCAACAGAGCAGTTGATAAATGTTGAATGGGCCCATTGTTCCACTGGAACATAGGAACAATTATGGGATCCTTGCAAGGTAACAGAATTGATGAACATATTACTAACTTATTTTCCTACATCTAAGGGGGTCTCTTTTCATGGTTGTGTTTGTGTTTCATCTAGTTCACAAACACAATCAGCATTCTGAAGGAGATTTCTATTTTGTTGCTGGTTCTAGAACCAGCAAATCATGGTTTCACAACCAGCAATGTCCCCATTTTTTGAACACTATGGAAGAAAACTTTTTGAACATAACCACATGGTTCAAAAAGAAGGCTGATGTGGCCAAGTGATTGTGTATCTTGGGCCATATTCCTATATTGTATAAAATTCAATATGTATATATAATTGTATGTACTTTTAACATATTATATGTGTTCACATATTATATATTATTTCTAATATTATATATATGTATATCTATCTTTTTACATACCATATTATATTTTTAACATATTATGTATTATTGTTAACACATGATAAATAAATAGCTGTATGACTGAAGGTGCATGGTGGGTAGATGAATTGCTTCAATATGTGTAGCCACACAGAAGCTGACAATGTTTTGAGTCCAAAAAATAAACCATGAACAGAATGGTGGTTATGGTTCCATGTGATTCAGAACACAACTACAACCCGCTATGGCAGAATGCCTAAGATGGTTCAAAACCAATGTTTTCGTTTTCAAAAAGAGGTGGTATGGTTCTAAAACACAACTGCCCTTTTTTGGACCACGAACCGAAGACCACCTAAGTTGTAAAGTAAAAAAAATACAATGATACAAATTGCAAGTCCATCTTTTGATGGTCTTCATAGCAGTTTATGATCATCAAATTGGATAGTATCATTGATGGTATTTTGGTAAATATCGGTAATGCTCACTCTTTTTTTTTGGGTTCATAAATCCTTGTGTTGTGGATTAACTTATGTTGTCTTTCTCAGCCTGACAGAAATTCAAAATGCACGGGGTATCATGGATGTCCTTGCAGAAATGCTAAATGCTTTAGATCCAGGGAACAAAGAGGTATATTTCCTGATACCATCTAGATTGACATCTTTAACTCTGCAAATTTTCATATATAAATCTAATAAATATCATCATTTTTGTCTGTAGTTGTCAAGGTGCCAAGGCAAAGCTAGATGAACAGAGTGCCCAGATGCCCATATATAAAATCAATATTCAGTAACAGTGAAGAAAATTTTATTAATACTTGTGACAAACAAAATTTAAGGTTTGCATGAAGATTGAAAATCCCAGAATGGGTGACAGGTTACCCCACCCTTAATTGATCTGTTACAATTGAGCCCAATAAAGTCTTTCCTTCACTTGTTTTGCCAAAGCATCAGTCAACCCATTGGCAGATCTATGAACCCAACGAAAATTAGAATTTAAGCCCATTGCCTTTTGTCTGATTTCCCTCATGTGGTTCCTTGTATTGCCAAAGGAAAGAAAGGTGGGTGTTAAAAAGGGAATTGGAAGAGCTCTTGAGGAAAGAGAAAATTTATTGGAGACAAAAATCGTGGTGTAGATGGATTTTAGAGGGAGATGGGAACACTAGATTCTTTCACTCTCTAGCAAATGGAAGAAGAAAGAAAGACTTCATCCATAGTGTGGAGTTTGAAGGAGAAATGTTGTCAAGGAAGGAGGAAATTGTGAGAGATTTTGTGAGTCACTTTAAAGAGACTTATGGAAGAAATGAGGAGGAAAGATCCTTTGCTTGAGTTGGATTGGGCCAGATTGCTTCTGTCCCAAAAAGATCCTATGGAAGATAGGTTCACATTGGAGGAGATAAAAAGAAGTAATTTTCTTAATGGACAATTCAAAAGCTCCAGGACTAGACGGTTTCACCATGGCTTTCTACCAAACTTAGTTGGTTACAGCTGGGTATTCCCGGAGAAGGTGGTGGACATCTTGTGGCAATGGCATGGCAGAGGTCTAGGAATTATACTGGAATACGGTGGCCCATGCAGTCTTGTGGGGCATTTGGGAATTTTGTAAAATAAAGCTAGAAATGCTGAAGATCTAACTTCCTACATCACTTTTCTCTGCAACATTGGGTGATTAATTCTGAAGTTTTCAATGGTCTCTCTTTAAATGATCTCCAGAGCAACCTTCCAGAAATCCTGCACTCCTCTCCAAGATCTGAGTGGACTATGAGGCATTTTCTTAGAGAAGAAGGAGAAATGACTCTAAACTTTGATGGTAGTGCCCAAGGCTCCACAGCTCAAGCAGGAATTGGAGGTGTAATCCGAGGGAAAAGGGGGAATGTTTGCTTGGCTTATAGTGGTCTGATTTGGAGGGCAGATGCTACAAAGGCAGAGGTCTTGGCTGCACTCACAGGAATTCGCCTCGCCAAACGGCTAGGTTTATCCTCTTTAACCATTAAAGAGGATTAACTATAGCATGGTTACGGGAGCAGGTAGGAGGGCCCTGGAAACTAGCCCACTTGATAGCTGAAGCTAGGGATATCTTAGTCTCTATGAATGTGAAGCTGGTCTGGATTCCTAGGGAGCAAAACACTGTTGCTGATAGCCTAGCAAAATCAGGGGTCTTTAGAGATTTCTTGTTTAGTGACAGTTGTTTGCCTTTGTAGTTCTGCCAAGCCGCTCTAGGCTTCAGTACATCCTCCCATGTACTTTTTCTGATGAGATTGTGCAGTGTGCAGTCAGCAAGGTGGTGTCTTGGGTTGCTGTTAATCCAGCATTCAATCATGTAAATGTAGCCAGGAACTCAGGACTTAGTCCCTTTGGCAGCTGTAACTTTTTGTTATTTCTAGCCATTCCCATAGTGGACTGACTTCTTCTGTAATCTTTCTTCAATTTTCAATAAAATTACCTTACCTTTTCCAAAAAAAAAAAGATGAATTGTTGGAAGTCTTCAATGAATTTTGGTTTAAATGAGAAGTAAATCCGGGCACAAATGCCACTTTTATTGCAGTATTCCTAAGAAGAAAGAAGCTTACACCCAAAGGTCCTGTCAGGGAGATTTAGCAAGGTATTGCTGTTTGTGATTTCACAAAATAAAGGAGCTTTTGTTCAGGGGAGACAAATAGTAGACCAAATTCTGATTGCAAATGAATATGTAGAGGAAAAGAGGAAAAGAAAGGATGGAAGTTTAATTTGCAAATCAGATATGGAAAAGGCTTATGATTTCCTGGATGGATGACAACAGTCCAGGTGTGTGGAAGTTCAGACATCTAAACAGAGAAATAAAGAGCTTAGCAAAGGGTCTTGAGACAAGTTTCAAGTGGGTTAACAGAACTTCAAATGGGATATCTGGTATTTTGGCAAAACAGGGGGTGTATAGGGATCAATATTTTTGGGCAGATTTGGGTTACATTTGTAACTTCTGACAAGCTTTGTCTCTCATGTCTTTAAAAGTTGATCTTAAATCTGTACTGTAAATTCCCCACTTATAATGAAATGAAAATGCTATTGATTACTGATCCAAAAAACAGTTCATTAGATTTAGCTGCTTACATATTCTTGATCCCTCTAGTGCAGCCAACATTTCTGCTTTGATAGGGTTACCTTGACCCTTGGGCCTGAGTATAATGCCATGGTAGACCCATAATGGACTTCTAAAGCCCCTCCAGAGCCCGTCAACCCCATATTTCCTAAATGTCAGCCATCAAAGTTTAATTTTGTGTAATTAGGTCTAGAAAGGGGCCCGTGCAACTTTGGGAAGGATCTTGAAATTGATGAGGAGGCTGTTCAATGCTACCCTCTACACATTTCATCCATGGGAAATGGAGAGAACAATGCCAAAATCTTTGCCCTATGCACTATATTAATTGTTATACTTCCACTAACTTCTTCCACCTCCTGTGCATTCTCCTCAAAGATCCTTGCATTATGTCCCTCTGAAATTGCCCATATTAAAGCTACCCTTGTACATTTCTATCCCCTTATGCCCAAAAAAATCCAAGCAAAATGAGCTTTTCATATCTGTTGGGGCTGTCCACCTACAACCAAAGAAAAAACCTTCTCTATATACTAGAAGCAAAGGAGCAGGGGATTAGTGAATGGTATAAAGACTCCCCACTTGAATTATAAAAGCACCATTTAGGTGTTCTTTTTTGTAATACATCACAAGTATTCATTTTCTTGTGCAACACCTCTCAACACAAAGCCCTTTTCTTGGATGGAACTGTTCTACTCCATATTTCATTAGCTGGAAAAGGTTGAGGGATGAGGGAGGAAAGAGTTAAGACTTAAGACCTTGAAGAAAGAAGCACATGAAAAGACACCTGAAGGAACTGCTTTCCAAATTCTGCCATCCAGTAGTGACACATCCAAGAAAACATGTTCTAGGGGCCCTATGCTATCAATAACATTGGATAGTTAAGAGTCGCAAGTGCCTCTAAATAAACCAAAGTTCCAGCTTAGTTCTGGGTTTCCACAAAAGAAAAAATAGTTTTTGTTTTGAGGGAAGATAAATAATAGAGATTTGAAAGACAATCTTTCGAAGGACAATCACCCAACTGAACATCCTCCCAGAGTTTGATCTTACTACCCAAACAAGCATCATAGTGAGTGCGAGAAGGGAAAAAATAATTAGCAATAACATTCATCAAAGTAGCTTTAAATTTTATATCAGTACATGAAAAATCATCATGTTCATGAATATGGATATTTGAAGTTATTTTACTGCTCGAAAACAAACTAAAAAGAAAGGCAGAACCCTTGTTTTACAAGAAAGTGACGAGAAATTAAAGCAACAGAGCCCCTGTTATATTGCAAAAAAAATTGATCAGAAAATTTACTGCAATAATCAAACAGAAAATAAAGGGGGTGGAGCCCCAGATTTACTTACAAAATTGAAAAGAATTTAAGGGGGTGGAGCCCTTGTTTCACTACTAAAATTGAACAAAAATTAATGAAATGGAACCACTTTTTAGTGGTTACAATCGTTTTAGAGGGTGGTTTTCCGTGTCAAGTGTTCCTCCTTGGAAGAGTTAAAAGGGAGGGTTGTTTTCTGTGTCAACTCTTGGCTGAAGATTGCAGATCTATTTAGAAGCATTCTCCAGTTCTTTGTGGGAGATTTAGAAAGAAACCTGGGGAAGGTTCTAAGTTCTTCGTGCCTGGAAGTTGCTCACACTGCTCCTTTGGCTCCAAGACCCTTTTTCTGAGTATATTCTCCAGTTTGATGCGATATTCAGAGAACCGGACTGGGCATAGAACCGGAGAAGGGATAGGTTCATGGGTCAGAGGTTCAACTGGGGTTGAACCAGAGGTCAAACCGTGATGATGTGGCATACACATAAATATACTATGAGTCATATAAATACTATATATAATATATTTTACAACTTTTAGTATACTTAAAATATGGTGGATGGATGGCAAGTTTCTTAATTTTTAAAGCAAATGACTAGGGTTCAAATCTCTTAATTTACATTTTCTTTAAAATACGTGCATAATAAAGTAATATGTACAATTAAAAGTCATTAATTAACACAAGTAAAGAGACAGACTAGTGGTAATTAAGCAGTATATAAAAATAAGAGGTCATGGGTTCAAGACTTGTTAAACATGTTTTAAAATTTCAATTATTTAAGGACCTGGGCGGTTTCATGAAACTGGGACTGGTTCACCGGGTTTTTAACAAATACGGTTATTGGGGTGTGGCCAAACCGGCCAGGGTCTTGGGTCATGGTTCAAATGGTTTGATTGGCCGGTCTGGTCCGGTTTCCTAAACACTGGTTGGATGGCAGATGTCTGAGCAGGCTAAGTCACAGGGGTCAGGCAGGGATAGGAGGCATACTTCTAACCTCCTCTGGAAATCTAGTTTGGGCCTTCAGTGGGCCCATTGGGGAGGCTGAAGCAATTGAAGCCAAGGTGCAGGCTTTGTTGGTGGGTCTGAGGGTTGTGATGTCCCTGAATGTCTCTTCTTTGGTGCTAGGAGACTCAAAGGTTATTATCAGTTGTATGCTAGAACAGCAGGAGGGGCCTTGGAGACTCTCCCATCAGTTCAATGAAATTTGGGAAATTCTGTCTTGGATGCTCTGTACCTTCAGGTGGATCCCTAGAGAGCTGAATACTGTGGCAGATGCTCTAGCTAAATATGGGGTGTACATGGGAGGATGTACAATAAAAACCAGTTAAGCCCAAGAAGACAGCTATAAGCCTACTACAAAAGCATAACATTAGCACTTTGCAAGAAACCCCTGTTCAGCTCTGTTTTAGCTAAGGAATCAGCTGATACACTCCGACTCCTAAGCGCCAGGGCAACAACTATGATATTGTCGGACTCAGACTGGATCTGATGGTTAGACTGCCAGAAGCAGGAAAATGGTATTTTGGTTGCCTGGTTCTTAGAAATGTTGACTTGGTCAAACTTATCTCATTTAAATGTGCTAATATATGTTGTAGTCTCTAACATTTATTGTTTCAAGCATATTTTGATGTAAAATAGCTTTAAAAGATAATCTAGAATCATTTCCAGTACTTTTCAATATTTAAAAATTTTTCACATTTTTATTTTAACTAGTTGAATGGTCGAACTGCTCAACCTTGATTCAGTCACCAAAATGGTTCTCTGTTGAGGCTGATTCTGACAACATTGAGTAACATTGATCAAAGAAGTGATGGCTTTCTTGAAAAATATGACAAGATTTTTAGTTTGTCACTTTGTTGTGGCTCTGAGTGACATGTTAATCTGGAATTGGAAGAATTCTAATTCAGCACATTCACATTGATGTCATGGTTATTTTCACACAGTTGAGTTGATGTTGCTCTACCCTACCATTTCTTATTGCCATCTGAGTTGATTAGAGACCTTTAAATTTCTTTTTTACATTTGTGCCTGCACTATGAACTGCAGCTTCCATTTTATATATTGCATTTTTTTCTCAGTCAATGTAGTGCCAATTTACAGGGGCTCAGGCAGGAGGTAATTGTGGACCTGGTCGACCAGTGCCGCACATACAAGCAGAGAGTAGTTCACCTTGTTAACACAACATCGTAAGCCCTTTTATTAGTGAATTTATGCAAATGATAATACCTGGAACTCTTTTAACATGATAAATACCAATGCAATTATGGAAATTGACATGAATGATAAAATCAATTTTCCTGCTATGATAAGGCCTTTTATTATCTCATTCAAACAAAAATTTTATAGTTTTATTACTGCAGGAGTCTTGCAAGCTGCAAATATTGGGAATGAGTTGTCGGCCTTTAACATGTGTATTAGCAGATTATAATATGTATATCCTTATAAATGACTTGTTTATATGTTGGTATTTTTGTGTTATATATCTGCCTATGTTTATTACTGAGCTGATTGCCAATATAAGCAGTGAGCATACATAAAGTTGTCGTTATTCATCATCTATAGTAAATTTTGTTTTATCAACCACTAATTAAGAACCCCATGGTAGGGGGCAACCATACAAGTATTTGTTTAATACCCCATTATCCTGGTGACAAAGTCTTGAAGCATTTAAGCTAGGTGAGTTATTTGATTTAGGGGACTAAGGGGGTTCTTGGGACTGGTGTTGCATTCCTGTTTAGAGTCCATGTAAGCACCATGCAGGCATTTTGACTTCACAGTACCAGAATCACATTTGGTTGGGTAGATTTGCGTTCAAACATTTGTATCACCTTTTACGTTGAATTATGTGCATGGGGGTGTTGGGGAAATGTCTTTTTAGCCTTCCCCCCAAAGGGGGGGGGGGGGGGTTTCCACTTTGGTTGCCTTATGTGAACCCTAATGGTGCTTATGTGTATTAAACTATGCAGTGTGTTATGTTCCAAAACATCTTGCTTTCCTGATTTCCAATGCTATAATTCAGGTTCAAATATTGAGACTTAAAACTCCATGGTGCCAAACACCCACTAAATGAGGTTTAATTTGTAAATTAAACAACATACTTTATCTAGAAGAATGTGAACCCCACCAGCATAACATTGTAAAAGCCTTTGTACTGGGTTTTTTATTTGAATTAGGAGATTAAATTTGATTTGATTTGTGACTAAAATTAACTGGATCGTTAGATTTAATTTGTGATTTAAGGATATGAAATGAACCTCTATGTGAATTAAAAAACAAAACAATTTCGGAGTTAGAGTGGGATCCAATCCACTCTAGATTTTTTTTTTTTTTAATTTTGAATTAGAAATTGTTTTTTAGCCCAGGCGCCATTTTTTGGTGCTATGTTAAAACCTCAAGCAGTCAGGCATGAGAGCGGGGTTCAGGGCTGAGAGTGGTCACTCCTTCCATTCAGAAAGGAGGGTTGCATAAATTTTCATTAGAAGGGTTATTACCTAATGCTTACATATTAACCAACCAGTGAAATCCATAGCTGTCAAACATCAATGCATGCCCTTGTGTATATATTCATTGTGAACTTATTAAAAATACCATTAGTAAAATTACCTAACAACCTAAAGATGTATTATACTTGCAAAATTCCTTGACATTAAAACATATTATGTTCCACTTGCATCTTAAATGAATTGAATGACTTTTTTGATCCGGTTGACTTGCTCAATATTTATCTTATTCTATTTTACTTTCACCTATTTCAGGGATGAATCTTTGCTTTGTCAAGGACTAGCATTGAATGATGACTTGCAGCGTTTACTGGCAAAACATGAAGCAATTGCTTCAGGAACTTCTGTCCAAGTGGAGAAACCTAAACCTCTTCAGGAACCTCTTCAGGCTCTTGTAGATGTTGACAGAGCTGCAGTAACTTCCCGAGAGAATACACAGCCTGATGGGAGGTACTAATACATTACTACACTTCTCGTGGGTATTTCTTGGTTATCAATTATTCATCATTCTCGTGGGAGGTACTAATACATCAGTGCTCTGAGAAGGGAGTAATTTAGTCATAGTTTAGCATCCTTCTATGGATGTAGTTGGTCATACTAAAAAAATTATAACCTTGATAAATTTAGTCAATATCTGAACTGGAGGTATACATACTTGATCTACACTTTCTGGTTTTTTGGACGCCATCTCGTTCTCTTCAACCATGACTTTCTTCCCCATTATGATTTCCCTCTCTGCTGTAGTTAAAAACAATGAGTTTTTTCGTTTCTGTTTTTTTTTGCCACACAGGTCTACTTCAAGTTCTAATCCAGGGAGTCAACCTTCTCTTCAGTTGGTCCCAGTAACTCCTTCAGCAACGGCTGACCCAAAAATGGACCTTCTCAGTGGGGATATTTACAATTCACCAACTCAGGGGAATTCACTAGCTCTTGTCCCCGTTGGAGAGCCCCAGCCATTCGGTCCTGCTGCATCACAGCAGACAGTTGATCCTTTAGCTCAGCAGAACCTTCTTGCTCTTTCTGACATGTTTCCCCAAAGCAATAATACCACGGATTCTATGAATTCCAACTCAACATATCCAGCTGCACAAACATACCCTTCAGCAGCACAGTTTCCTCAGCAGCAGCAATTGCAGCCACCACAACCCACATTTTATTCGAATGGAAGTACCCCAAACATGGGTTTACCTCAATCACCAAATGCCAATCCTCCATGGAACAACCAGGTTGCTCAAGGCTTTAACCACCAGCAAGAACAGCCTGTATATGGTACCTCTATACCTCCCTAATTGTTTCCTTGAAACTATAGTTGTATGAACTTTCTACTTAACCTACATCTACATTCTGGGATATTCAACAGGTGCAAGTTCTCAAAGCAGTGGCACACTGCCACCACCACCATGGGATAGTCAACCAATGGAAGCAAGCCAACAGTCAGGCACTTATTACCCCCAACCAATGCAAGTTACCCATGTGGTGGTCACACACTCCCAACCGGTACAGAGTGACTTAAATTCTCAGCCTATGGGGAATAACCAGGGGATTGGTATGTATGTTCAGCCCGTTCCAAGCACCCAACTAGCAGCCATTAATCATCAGTCGATTCAGAACAATCAAATGTTGGGCATGCTTCCTCAGCCAATCCAGGCAGGGCAGATGATGGGCATGCTTCCTCCACCAATTCTAGCCAGCCAGATGGCACATATGAATCTTCAGCCAATGCAAAACGTTGGGTACGGGTATGGTGCACAGGCTCAGTTCCTTGAACAGAGGATGTATGGGCTCTCAGTACAAGACGACAATGCTTTGAGGAACTCTTATTCCTTGGGATCGACGACATCATCATACCTGCCACCTATGAAACCATCCAAGCCAGAGGATAAGTTGTTTGGCGACCTTGTGGACATGGCCAAGTCAAAGACGAAGAAAATCACTCCTGGGCTGTCAGGAAGTATGTAAAATGATTGATGTGATGTTTTTTGTTCTTATTTTTTCCCCTAAAATTTTCAAAATCTTACTTATTTTTCTATATATTTTCCTTCACTTTGATCTGCTATTGTATTGCTTGTCTGGCGATTGAAATCATGTACATTCCCTGTAGAGAGAAATTGAAAATCAGACATTTCCTTTGTTTAGGATGGGTCACCCCTTCTTTTTCTCCTACCTAGCCAGTAGGAGGAAGATGGTTCTAGTTTCTTCACCTTGGAGGCTTATTTCTTGTTGATATGTTGGTAGCTAATGGGCTTTTTACATGTTCTAGGCTTCTAGCTGAAAAATCAGTGTTGCAATAGTGATGCATCACTATTTTAACATTCTTTTAACAATCACATCACTATTGCAATATCAGTGTTGCAATAGTGATGCCATTGTTCAAAGCATTTCTAGGTACTGGGTTAATGCAACTTTTAACACTTTTCTGGTCACGAGGATGATATTTGTCAGTTTTTAGCTAATAACTATCGGATCAATATGATCATGATAGCAATTCTTTCAACCCAGGTTTAAATGGCTGGTTAGATTGGTCAATTCTTTCAACTCAGTTAACAACCTGTTGATCCGGTCAAATGAACTATAGAACATCTGACCCAGCCAGCAGGTCATAGATCAGACATTGGTTTTCTTTTCTATTTTTTACAGTGTTTAGATGATTGATTGACCTGAAAACTGAATCTGGGTCCTGGGTAATAGTCATAAAAGTTAAATTTGATTATATAACGTTAATTTATATCTTTTTCCTTTACTTACACTAGTATATATATATATATATATATATATATATATAATTATAATTATATAATCTATTTACTAATAATTAAAAAAGAATTATTCATATCACATGACCTATTTTTTTCAAAATGATTATTCTATTTTTTCATTTTTATTTTAAATTCTCTTATTAATGATGTCATGCATCTTATTGAATCACTTTTAAAACATCTCCGTTCCCTAAAATTTCTTCTAGGTTATTTCCTTCACCTAAAACTTTTTACTAAAACATCTCTCAAATGCTATCTCACATCCCCAATATACTATTAGGGGTGTGAATCGAGCGGGTTGGGCTGGGTTTAAGGTCAACCTAGGCCTAACCCTAAGATTATGGCCGAAAGCCCAAGGTCAAACCAGATCTTCCCGACCCGAGTCCAGCTGGCAATGCAATTTGATGCACTTGAGTTGGGCTCAGGCCCAAGCCAGGCTTGGGTTGGTCAATGAACCCACTCTAAAATTATATATATATATATATATATATATGTATGTATATATGTAGATACATATCTATATATGTATGCATGAATGTGTAAAGTCGGATCAGGCTCAGGCTGGGTTAAGGTTACTTGGCTAGGCCCAGGCATAACAATTCCGAAGTCTTGGGCCCGAGCCCAGACTGAAGACTGAAAATCCAAGCCCAATTGGTGTAAAATTTTGGGTTGGCCAGTTTGGACTCGGGTTGGGCCCACCCAAATTGCACCCCTATATACTATCGCTACTCTCTCTCTCTCTCTCTCTCCTAAATCTGCAGCTGTTATTTTGATTAGGTTTTCTTTGATTCTTTGCCTGGACTCTGGGGATTGGTTTAGAGCTATAGTGCTATACAAAATTATAAACAAACAATAAAGCAAATCTCAGTCGTCCTCTTTATCGAGATGAAAAAGAGTGGGATAAGACAGATGGACTATTAGACTGAAGACACTGAACACAAAATCTGTGGAAGTTAATGCACTTGTTAGCTTTAAGAAATAAGGATAAAAACAAGATGCCCACATGGGTGTGACGCTGAGGAGATTGTAAAATACCTATTCCATATATGTAACTCGGCGAGAGCAATCTGGTTCAGCATTCGTCTTTGTTGGAGATCCGATAATTCAATTTTTGCTCCGTTGAGGATTGGCTGCAATATCTAATATCAGAACTGGATCTTGCAAACGAGGAGAGTTAGAAACAAGAAGGTTTTCAGTAACTTAAAGCCATGTCCGATGGACTGGTTTGTTACCTTTTGCAGAATTCTAGGTCATTTGTAATGTAACTGTTGCAGATGGAAGAGCTCCATTGGCTTGGTTATTGGTGGATGAAATAAAGTTTGTTAGAGGGGGACTGAGACGAAGATGGCTGATGAAGCGGAGGTAACGAATTTTGTCAATTTTGTGTGTGTTTTCTTTCTTACTTTTTTTTTTTTTTGTAAAAAGCACTCAATTATATTAATTATATTCAAGGCCTCAAGGGTTATACTAAAATGTGAGAATCATAAGCTATAGAAAAACTTTGACCGCTTATATATATATAATACAAAGTTTTAGTCTATAATAAAAATTAAGATTTGAGGCAAAAAAAGACACTTTATTTGACAAAAAAGTGGGGTAATGGAAAAAATCACCTAAAACCATCACGGTGCAAAGTTATAACTTCTGAAAGTTTTAACTTACATTTTACATTGAAATTTATATGAATAAAATAGAGCCTAACCAACTCTCCCGTTTTCAGAGCTTAACCAAATCAATTGATAAACTGGTTCACAGTTTTCTAGTCGGACCATCCAGTCCAATCCGATTCTCTGAACACTGTATCTTTTTTTTTTGTAGTTTTCGAATTTTCAATTGTCTATTTATTACACTTAATTAATATGATGAATATATAATGTTAAAATTTTCAATTTTGATAAAAAATCTCAATTTTTATACACCTTTTTTCTGAAAACTACTATATGTTTTCTTATATTTTCAATATTTAATTTTTGGCAACGGGAGTTAAACTGTTTGATATGCCACTCCCACCTGTCTGATAAAGGGATATTGTGCAAAAACGTTTTTACTTTTGAGTTCAGATCTGCGCCCCACAATGCCCCACAGCACATCCCCACCTTATATTGGGAACGTCTCTCAGTGATGTCTCATCATCTCCCATACTTGTTATTGGGAGATGTTCCCAATACAAGGTGGGGATGTGCTATGGGGCATTGTGGGGCGCAGATGTGAGCTCTTTACTTTTACATGCCCTTTTGTGATTTAAGAGGACTATGATAAACATAGCACATTGGTGTCCATTTAGCGTCTGTTTGGCATCGATACCGTTTGCTCCAGAAAACGATGATACATCAGCACCACATTAGAAAAATCGGTGCTCCAGGAAACGTCAATATGTTTGGAATTGTTTTTTTATAAAAAACAGTGCATCAAGCCATGCCTTGAAAATTGAGAAGGCATGGTTTAGAGCAACGCGAAATTCAACGTTTTCTCAGATTGGAGCTTGTTGCTGCCAACAAGAACATGATGTGGCAGTGACATAAACTTTCTAAAGTGGGTATCAGTGCTGAAAACAGATATGGAGCACTGGTACCAAATAGAAGGTGTTGTTATTGCTCCAGGAAACGTCCTACCTGGCAGCAACGTTTCCAAATAAAAAAAAGACCATTTTCTCGGAAAACGGTGCTTCCAACCCACACATATACAACACTGTTTTCAGCATCGATGCCAAACAAATACTTGGTTAAAGATTGAAAAGGGTCATCAGCATTGTAAAATCAATTGTCATTTGCTCAGGCCCACTCTACCACTCTTGTTTTCTTTTTAAATTATTTTCAGACATTGCTTTATGAATTATGAAACATAACAAAGTAAAGACTAAAGACTTCACTCTATAAAATACTAGCAAAAGAATGATATATACATCACCTTAAACTTCCAAAATACATCAAGATATACATGAATTGATTATATACTTCTCTCGTGTCACCTCAATAAGGAATGGAAGATTACCAGAATTTGGCCGTTGCATTTTAAAACGAATGGGAAGGAAGGAAAAGTGATGGCAGAGAGATATTTCTACCTTGGGGTTTTTTTGCAAAATTTTTACTGGTTAGCATATTGATCTACATGGCATTGGGTTTTCCATCAAATTTGAAAATCGATACTGCACCCACCAAGCTTCTCAGCAGCCTCAATTTGGGATAGTATTGTATTGTCATTTGGAGATAATGATGTTGCTAAAATGTTTCTTAGGTTCCTGTAGATCTCCTCAGGTGGGAGCTTGCTATTTCCATGAAATGTTTCATCACTGCAATGATCCAACGTTGGAAGCTTCACAGGGCTCTTGGTTCTAACATCCACCTTTGCACCTCCCTTGGAAAGCCGAGGAGTATTTGCTTCTGTTTTGAAACAAGTGGGTTAGCGACTAATTAGTTTAAAAAAGTTTCACTCTAAGAAAATACAACAAACTAATAGAGCAGCAAGCAATGCTAGTAGACAATGAATTTATGAAATTCCTACATTCTGTCAACAAGGTTTGACACATAAAACAATACCATCAAATTTGTGTTGTAATGTGTATTTTCATAGGTCTCATCGTGTCTGCGGGGCAAAGTTTCCAATATTGCATAAACTCATTGTTTACAGGAATTGCTGCCCATTAGGACTGGTGTGTGTATCCAGAGATTCGCATAAAAGCACAGGAAGAATTGTTTTGGTGTATGTATGCATGGGCTGCTACGTCGGTTGCTGGCCAATTTATAATTAAAGAAAATTACATACAGAATATACATGGGAAGAGAGAAACTATGTGCCTTAAAACTTGCATATTCATAGGAAGGCTTGGAATGAACCAAGTGCTTATATATATGTGTACACCATCTGACAGGCTTCCTATTATTAGTGGGCAGTAACTGAGACAGAGACAATAGGCCAACTTGGAGGGTCATGGGCAACATAGCTGGTAGCTCTGTGCCTTTTCCAGTTTCTGCAACCAGGTTGCACAAAAGATTTATTTTTACAGATAACATGATGTTTTTTCCCTTTTGGGTAGAAAGATAACATGATGTTTCAGTTAATCAAAATAAGTTTTCTGTATTGTATTCTTTATTAGACACCTTCACCATGTAGAACATCTTTATCAAAATAAATAAATAAATAAATAACAAACAATGCCAATTTAAATATGTGCTTCTGAATCTGATGAAGAGGGATGTAGCTGGTGTTGCTTACCAGTTACTGCCAAGGGATGTCCTCATTTTCTAATCCAATTATTAACTTAAATTGTAAAAAGATAAAAAGTATTATTTCTAAATATTATAACATATTACTTTAAGAATATTCCTAGGTCTAAGATCTACGTCAATGATTTACAAGCACCTCAGGCCTACACCTAAGTGCCTGTTTTGGGAGGGTTTTCACAAAGTGGCTTCTGGTTTTGCAAGGCGGGCCCCACATGGAAACTATAGAAGCTATGTTTGGTGAAAAACCCAGAAAGCCCAAATACACTTTCATTCAGCCAAGAAATTGACTTTCTGGTGAAGCTAGTTTTAGTAGATTCTTCAAAGTAGCTCAGTCAACCCAAAGCCCTCCCAAATGGGCCCTAAGTAGCTCAGCTATCAAGCTGTATTTACTTCCTTATATTACATGAAAAACAAGAGTGCAATTAGCTTGGTAGGTTACCTTTAGGTCTTGTGGAAGAACCCTGCTTCCTCATATGCATGCCAGCACGTTTTATGCATAACCAGGTTCTTTCCCCTGTTGAATCATGTTCTGATGCTATGGGAATATGCCAGTGGCCTTTCTCTGATTCCTGTATTCCAAGGAAAAGACAGATAAGTATCAATGAAGCAAAAGAAATCTGTATGTCTATAAAGGAGGCAATAAAGTATCCAGAGTTTGCTTCTTTTCTCCATCTACCAATCCTTTTAGTTGAAACAAGTTAACTAACTCCATTTTTTATCTCATACATTTAGTGTTGCTGCAAATCAACATGAAATTCTTCCCCATGTTAACAAATACAGCAAAGGAAAGCCTCATTAAGTTATTCTGACCTGAATAACAACAGAACAAGGAGGTGGCATGTGAAACTCTGGCCCACCATCCTGAAAACTGAAATGGACCTACCACAGATAAAAAGGACTCCTATTCAAGAGATGAATGTTAAAATCTCAATAGGACTAGGAAGGTATACAAATAAAATCTATACCAACAATAAGTTAAAAAAGAATTATACAAAAGAAACATCAGTTAGAAAAGAATTCTAGAGATTCACTTTATGAGTTTCTGTTCCCAGATGCTCCTTGCAGTTCAATGTTATTGATGGGACCCACTGAAATGATTCTTGATGATCGATAAACTTCCACTTATGATAGAAGGAAGATCTCATACCGTTGGTTCTAGTATATCTACGAAAATTAAATATTTTCTTGAAAAGAAAGCACAGAAACATACAAAAGGATAAATAATACAGGAAATGCCAAATCAAGTAAAAAAGACACATGGGATAATTAGCGTTAATGAAAACAAGATAAGAGAGAAACAGAGTGAAAACATCCCTCATTTGTTCTTCATACTCGGTGAAAAAAATCATTCTTCAGATCCATCTCAATGATGTTGCCAGAAAATTAGTAAGCACAACTTTATGTATTCAGTTAGCATAAAATTCTAAGTACCGAAGTGTAGTTAAAAGCTTCAAACAACAAAAACGTTTACCCACATGATGCCTTTCTTTCCATTTGGGGAAGAAATCATTTCCTAAAAGCTGAAATATATGATCCCTCATCTCATCATTGGTCACGATTAAACATTTGAACTTTATAGCTGCATATAACCAGTACCTGAAGAACACGTTATTAACATGACCACTTAATGTTGGGAAATATAACTAAAAATATGTGAACATCCAATTATTCATATACAAATCTCTAAATGAGTTCTTGTTTATACGATTTTCTCCTATTTGGCCACAGTAATTAGATGTGAGAGAGCATCTTACTTACCAATCATCATTTGATCCTGTAGGTGTTGCATAGAGTGCATCAGCATTTTTCCATTTCTCTATTAAGGTTCTGTTTGTTGGCTGATCCATTCTGTCTCCAGTGATACGCTTATTATGAACAACTATTAGTGGCCATTTTTTTGAGGGAAGAATCTGGCGTATTCCATTCACAACAGCATTGACCTAAACATTCCACCAATAATGGAAAATAAGTAAGACTTACTAGAATAAAAGAAAATTCAAACATTAAATAACTTGCCTTGGATAGTGAAAATTTTCTTTGGCTGAAAAGGCCCACATTAGCTGCATCAACCACTGCTTCAAAAGGTCCATAATAGTCCAGCCATTTCTGTAGAGGGTCAGTTTTTCTTTCACATGTTTAGACCACAGATCAAATTTACAAAACAGAAACTATAGAGGGACATTCTGTGCATGTGCTTGTGTGTGTATATATGCTATGAAAAAGATCTTCCTAAGGAAGACTATTTCATACTTGGAATTTTTGGAAGCTTGAATTCCGCTCTCTCTTTGCAGCTATAGATGCTACTGATTTGGCAAAGTTTTCGGTCTCTATTGGATCGAGGTCTATTGTGGTCAATTTCTCCTCACAACCTTTACAGACTCCATCATCTCTGACGAATGTTCTATTGACAGTCCACTTTCCCTTACCTAACCAGCCCTGGCCATGCCAACCCCCACCTCCATTTTCTATTGCATCAGTTATTGATTTTTTATCCCATTTTCTTCTCCCTATTCTTGATGCTTCCTTGCTTTTAAACCATCGCTCAATCAAATCTGCTGTAGGAGGTGAGACCTGCCTGACAGATGTCCTAAGCTTATGCAACAAGTAGTAAACCTTGTCACTTCTACCAGCATTTACACTTAGCCTCAAAAGTGCCTCCAATTCAGGCTCTTCTGGGTAGACCCCATGCTTCAACATGTGTTCTTCAACGGTGAATGCTTTCTCAATGTCCCCACTACTGCAGAAGGAAAACAATGCTGGGCCATAAGACCGCAGTCTGGGGTTTATACCTAGTGGCTTCATCTGCTTTACCATTTCAAATGCCAAGTCTCCATTACCCATTGACATAGCCATTCGAGCAACAGCTGTCAAGGCTGCTTCATTTAAAGGGACATTTTCCAAACGCATCTTCTCATAAATTTCAAATCCTCTCCTAAGAGCGTACTTTTTGACATTTCCACTGACTCGGATTTCACAATCTTGTTGATTATCTCTTTCTCTTACAGAGTCACTTTCACTCTCGTTTGACATGGTGAACCCATCTGAAAACAGAGAATTTGGTTCCGTAGCCTTTCCTCCAACTAATCCAACCAGAAACTCGCTAGAACTGGAGGCCAATTTATCAGAACTTGCACCAGAACTATTACCAGATTCATCAAAGCTCAACTTTGTACTGTCGAAACTCCCATTACCCTTCTCCCCAATTTCATTCAGAACTACAGAATTTGCGCTTGATAACTCACTAATCAAGTTTAATTTCTTGAAACTACGACTACCACTCCCACTTTTAGCTGGGCGGATAACACCCACAGCTGCGGAAGAACAAAGATAAAGAAGCACAGTATAATGGTACAAACCCAGCTTGATGCCATCTTTCTGAGCCGAGTCGTAAAGAGAAATTGCACCCAAGACATCCCCTCTCTTCGAGCACATATCCAACTCAACTCTCAGTGGAATTTGTGATGAATCATCCTCACTTTTATTAGACTTCCCGGCCGTCTTCTCCTCTCCTACCTGACTAGTACCTTTACTCTGTTTGGAATTTTCTGCCTCTTTTTTATCAACCAAAACATTGCTCTTATTTTCCTTATATTTTTCACCTCTCCTTTCATCTTTAGGCTTGAAAGAAGAAAACTGGGAACCCATTTCTTGCTTTGTTCTAGAAACTCTGTCTTTTCTGTTATAGTTACTTTTACCAAACCTCCTTTCCGTTTTTTCCTCCATCACTGAACTAACAGTAGCTTTCATTGATTTTCTTTCTACCCTTTTGTCACTGGACTTCAAAGTCTTAAACCCATAACCCATTTGTCTCTGTGCTATAGAACTTATGGTTTTTGATGAATGACTATGTCTTCTACCAGACAGTTTCGCATCCATGTTGCTAACATTTGCTCTTACTACAAATACCGAAGAAAAGTCTTGATGAAACGTCTGTTTTCGAGTTGACACAGAGAAAAAATTAGAGCAAAAGTGAGATTTAAAGCTAATTAGTGTTGATGGGTACTTACAGAGAGCCATAGAGTGGAGCTCTTTTGGTTGAAGAGACTCGAAGGGAAAGGAGGCCATTTTGGCCGTTGGAAAGGCCTCCCTCCAATATCTTGTAAAGGGTTATTTTATGTCTAGAATTTGGATTAGATTGCATCGGATGGATAAGGACTGATTACATAAATACCCTTGTTTAGGCGTTGAAATGACCTATTGTGTCCTTACATTTCGCGGTTCTTCGCCTTCTGCCTGGAGCTCTCGTTTCTTACCTTCTTAGTTCTTATTAGTTCCTACAAGGTTTTACAGGTGTCGAGGATGCATTTCTATTTAACGACAGGACAGTTGTTTCAAATTACATGAATACCCTTATTTCGATGTGAATTGCGTAGCCGTTTGATTGGAATAAATTGTGTCCAATGAATGTACTACCTGTTGCGATTCCACAGTTACCAGTGGCCTTCTCACACGATTCTGGTACCATGGTCTGGTTGTCATGGATCATTTGATCAGACGGCTGATATCATCCTTGGCTATTCTTACCACTTTGGGTAATCTTGTTATTTTCCGACGAACATATGGTCATATTAGTCTCGACGTTTGAAATAAATGAAGCCCCCAGTTTACTCTACAGTCTAGACTGAAGAAGCTGTCTCTTCGTGCCCTCTCTCTCTGGTTTTCACTTTCTCTTCTCCCTTTCACAAACCAGAAACCAAGAGGTAAACCCTAAACTATGCAAGCATTTCGAATTCGAATCCAAGTTTTTCTTCCCTTCATAAATTTGTATATGTACGTTTCAGGTGAAAGAATTGTATTTTCTTATAATTTATTCCACAGCTTCCATTGTTTGCTAGGAGTATGGCTTCAGCCATTACAAACCTACCTCCCTCATTTCTCTTCCATGGAAGAAAAACCCTGTTCAGAAATGTTAGGAACCTTCCAGCTTCTGCCGTCAGAGGTGAGCTTGATCTTTCTTTATCGATGCAGTTCAACTGGTCTTTGGTTCGATCACATTGTTGTACTGTTACCAAAAAGAATAAGAACACATTCTTCTGTAGATAATTCGTATGATCATGGAAATAGTTGTAAAATGGTGCTTATTGTGCGGCAATTTCTGATAGACAACAAAATCAACCTCGATATAGTTGGCCATGGTGTACTGTTCATAATGTTCTTACTTTAAAGCACTCCTGATGGCTACGAATGGCTCCTAACGAGTGTAGGCGCATTCTTTCATGAAAGTAGGATTACGAGTCCACAATTACAATTCGGACTTTGGGGTGCTTCTGCTATCCTGTCCCCTGGACTTTTGAGCCTCATAAGCTCAATTGTTCATCACAACTTTGTTCTTTGACTTACTTATCACATTATATAAATGAAAAAAAATGTTTAGGCCTTATTTATAATCTCCATTAGGTCAAGTATGGTGTAGCATTGGCAAGAGGGTTTCAATTGCATTTGCATCTAGTTTCAGCTGTGGTTGTAAGTTCTTAGGTTGAGGAACTTATATCATGGCCATATAATTGAACAAATATCTACCATAAAGTATGTTGTATTATTGAAGCCAGTAATTTGTTTCACGATTTATTTGGGTAGCTCTGGTCACTATTAGTTCTCTTTCTCATGTTGCAGAGCAAAAGAGACACTTGAAGGTTGTTGTGAAGGCTACTGGGGAAACCCCTGAAACTTCATCCTCCCTGAGTATTGTGGAATCTGTTCAAGATTTCGTAAGCCCACTATGACATCTGATTTTCTTTCTGAAAGGCATAAATAAAAGACATTTTAGTTCCCCTACTTTAGGGTCTTGAGCATTTCCTTTGTAACATACAAACATTTTGAGAAAGAGAAACATCCACGTGCCTGGGTTTATTAGTGACTATCCACCTTAGCTTATCTCTTACCCTTTTGGCTGCTTCGGTATTTCTTTGTGATAAACTGGAAAAACATACTTGGTGAGTTTCTTGCTTTTCATAGCATGTGATTGATAGGGAAGTTGCCTGTATCTTGTAATTCCTTTTTGTAACAGTTTCAGTCATATCTGGGATTCTGGCTATCATAGTTCATGGCCAACAGACTATAACATTTACTCAGTTAATTCTGCAATTTTTCTGTTTCTTAGGAGAAAATATGCTTCTAAATAATAACAGTCATATTAAAAGCATGGATTAATTTTTCTTGTTATGTATACCATGAAACAGTGGGATAAGTCTGAAGATCGAGTTGCACTTGTTGGCTTAGGATTTGCGGGTGCAGTAGTTCTGTGGGCAATTGCCAATCTTGTCATGGTATTTACTTTTACTTTTCTTCTTTTCAAAGAATTAATTTAAACATGAGCACAAGCAACAAAATGAAGCATTGCATGGTTGTACAAGGTATAGTTGTCCAAGGGCTAAGATAAGCCAGATGATAGGGGAGCTCATAGGTGACTAGAAGCCAACTTAGGAGGTGCTTAGGTGGTCATGTTTTATAAAAAGAACTGGTTAAGTTTAGCATATTTCCTGACTTCTTTTCATGCAATGTAACATGAAACATTTAAACATTAAATGTAGAATGGAAGCATATAGCTTGTGTAAAAAGGGGTGGAGCTCTTTTTCTATTAATGTGAGAGGGAGTTGCAGAGAGAATGTAAATGGGTGTGGGTGAATCAGATGATGGAAAGAACAAAAACGACAGAAGTAGCCCCTGTTATGTTGAATGTGAAGGAGATATAAAGGAATGTGTGTGTGTGTGTGTGTCTGTGTGAAGAAAAGTACGCTAGCGGCTAGTGAACATATTACATATTTACTGTCCATTCGCTATCTAGGTATTGCATCTGGCGTACCTTTGCGCTAGTAGATATGTTATTTGTGGTGTGGCCTACTTCTGGTAAGGAGCCTCAATACCCCATGTATCACCTCAGGCTCAATGAAATAGTAATGTCACAAACAATTCAGTAACTTTATATAAGTCCCCCTGTCCCCTCCAAAATAAATGGAACAACAAATAAAGATATCCCTTCTGTCAAATTCTAACTTTCACCTTATTATATTGGCACTTCAATGATTATCAACTTAATTTTGATTTTCTTTTCCCTATTTCCCATAGGCCATCGACAAACTTCCTCTAATCCCAAATGCACTAGAATTCATTGGCATATGGTTTTCTTGGGTAAGTATCATGGCAAATACATATCGATTAAAAGTTTTTTTCCAGTATCATAGTCGAACCCTATCTATAATCTTAATTGTTTGCACTCTAAACTGTTGTCTTTTAAATTGTTCCAGTGGTTCATGTATCGTTATCTCTTATTCAAAGCAGATCGGTAAGAAGATTTTTAACTTCACGTTTCTTTGCTTAATCCTGATTCTTGTTTAGATGCGGCCAGTACTAGGAGAACATAAACCATTGGTTATTACTGTACAGCCAAGCTTTCAATGAACTTTTTTGGAATTTTAACTTACATATTTGTGAAGAACCATATATAGGATTTCGTCTTTGTTTACAGGGAAGAGTTGTTCCGAGTTGTCAACACGTCACTATCAGATATTTTGGGCCTGTAATACGTTCACTGCATGGAACAGTTGGGAAACAATCAGAAGGGTTTTGGGGGCCTAATGTAACTGAGGGTGTGTGTGTGTTTTCTGTACAGGTTAATAAATAGGCATCTAAAATGTGTATCAGCAGCAGGTACCCACTGACTGGTTGTAGGATACTCCCCCCCCCAGGTTTTTATTTTGCATAGTCTGGATCTGATGGTAAATTAGTAAAATATTTTTGAGGTTTTTACTGTTCAACCTTAGAATTTTAGGTGTCAGTTCTGAATTGATGCCAAATAATTTTTAAAATATCCTCAAATTCTTAAAATTCTATTTATAAATTATCCAAATAATTTTTAGGTGGCTGCTGGGGAAAATTCGGGGATTCCCCCGTCCCCAATGGGGAGTGGGTGCCCCGTCCCGTTTAGGGCTCCATAACTACTACTGCTTCTTGCCTTGGAGATTCCACTAATGCTAGTAATGCATGCCCACATGACCGACTGGCTCGTTTCCCTCATCAGTTGCTGAATATGGTTTTGGATAATTGGATCATATAAATAAGAGATCTATGTAACTCACTTTCTGCAACCTTTCATGATCGGTATAACACAGGACAGGAGCAAAACCAATAAACATACGAAAAAAAAAAATCTCTGATCTAGAAATCCATTTCGATTTAGCCATGCAGATAATTTTACACCAAAAATTAAAATGTTCTGCATTCCATCTCGAGTGTGCGAAAATTCGTTCTCCCAATTGCCGAACTTCATCCACCTGATTTCTTGAATAGCGAGTTTCTTCTGCTTTATTTTTTTTTAGCATTTGTGTGGGACTAGCAGGATTAACTAAAAAAGAAGCAAATTTGAGTAGGGTGTAGTGGGATGGATGCATTAGGGAACCGAAGCCCTAAATAACATTTATGAAAGCCAAATGTTCATGTAAAGTACCAAAGAACATCCTCTTCGACAGTTTAGTTCTTACAATTCAAAGTAAAAAAAGGGTGAAGTCGTCAACATGGATCTTACATTCCCGCCTAACATAAAATCTGCCAGGTGAAACAGCCACCACCAAAAGACATGCTATCATAAAGGCATTGAGATGCCTGCAACATGCATAAAAGCAAAGATTAAAATAGATGAAAATAGCCAACATTTACAATCCCCACATTGTTTTGTACACAGAAAATGATAAAGTATTCCCTCCCCATTTTAACGCACTTCTAACCATTATAACCATATAAAAACCCAAAGAAAAGTGATTCTTTTAACTTTTTGGAGCTACTGTACTCATCCACCTTTAGTTTATTATGCGCACATACTACAATACTACATCAATTAGGATCCTCCCCATTTTTTTTTTATTATCACAGAACTTGTACCACATTCTCAATTGACAACACTCGGACCAGGCTTACCGTCTTATCTATGAATCTATGATATGTCTGACCAAATCAGGGACAAAACACCAGTCGAAACACATTCAGCTTTTTATTCCAACATACCAGGTTTGCGTTCATAACTAAAGCATATAAAGAGTCAACCTCCTATAGACATTCTTTCTCCTACAGCTGACTATTTTCTGTAACAAATTTCAATTTCCTCGTTGCATAGAAACCAAAGAATATCAGTTTCTAAAATTAAGGGGCTTCCCAGAAGCTAAAGTGGGGAACACTGCAATCCCTCCAAAATCTGCTTTTTTTGTCATGGGTGGCAGAGTTGGGTAGATGTTTAACAGCGGATGCCTTGGCAAGGAGAGGTCTGAGACTGTTGCCCAGAAGGTGTATAAAGTGTGGAGAAGCTTCAAAAGATTCAGACCATTTGTTGACTCACTGTAGAGTTGCAAGAAGCCTATGGGCAAAGTTTTTGGGGCTGTTTGAAGTTCAGTTTTACTTTCTAGAAAATTTATTGGCTGTGTTATGGGGTTGGCAGATGAAAGGTTTATCAAAAGATGGCAAGGTTATTTGGGGTGTAGGACCTGCTATAGTTCCATAGTGGTTTGGACAATCTGAACAGAAAGAAACAAAAGACTGTTCGTAAATAAATTTACCATGGAAGAAAACTCGCTGAAAGGTTTTTGGGGTAGGTAGTAGGAACACAGATTTTTCAGGAATAGGCCATTTAGTTCTTTTTTTGAATTTGACTCTCTTTTTGTATCTATGCACACAGGATACACAGAATATAAGATGTACAGGTTTGGCTTGGACACTGCATAGGTCTTTGTTGTGCAGACTTTGGTTGCTTTTTGAGCAATACAATAGTTTACCTTCATTCTCAAAGAAGAAGAAGAAGAAGAAGAAGAAGAAGAATAGATATTCTCAGTACAGACCTTCATGCTTTCCATATGTTGGTCATAACTCTCTTAAATCATGCCTAAATCATGTGATCTTTGTTTGTAAAAGTTTTTTTTTTTTTTTTTTTTTTGATGGATTTGCTCGTAAAAGTTTTCTAACTGTACAAAAAATTTTGGTGTTTGGTCTCTTTCTAAGAAGATAAGGAACATGAGGCTATACTTATTTTCAGGTCAAGTTCGGGGTCCAGTTAATTGGACAATGCACTCACATATGGATATGCTCTGCATCCATCATAAATATTATTGATTTCAATATCCATACAATTTGCTACTTTTCTTACTAAAGGCACAATAACACCCTAGATGTCTAATCCCCAAAACAAGAGGTGCATTAACTTGCATCCAAGGTTCAAAGTATCAATACGATACACCCCGTATCAGGTGTATCGTACCGTATCTTTTGGTCCTCAATGGGACGAAGAAGGGGGTGAGGTGGTGGTGCTGGGTGAGGACTTCTGAGGGGTTGAAGCCCAAATTTGTAAGGTAACTAGGAACTTAGGAAGAGGGGGTAAGGATGAGGTGAGGATGGATCAGTAGTAAGAAAGGAAGGACAGTTTTGAGCAGCTTCTCTTTTTTCTATGCCACGCCCTTTGGATTGAAAGAAATAGAAGATGTTTCGAAGATAAGTCAAAAGCTTTGAGGTGCTTGCGGCCCTGGTTGGAATGTGGTGGCAGACTGAGTATCAGTGCTTCTAGAATTGGATTGAAGTAGTTGATCAGATATGGGGGAAAATTTTTAGAATGTCCTCGAAATTCAAGTTTGTAATACTGAACAATTCTCTGTTCTTTAGTATGCTGTTGTTTTGTATTGGTGAGCTGTCATCTTGACACCTCTCGGATTGTATTTTCCTTTTTGATAATGAAAATTTTCCTTTTACTCTTTAAAAAAACAGACACCATCTATGGCTGCAACTTTTTGAGAAACTTGTTGCATACCAAATTGAGTAAAGCCACCATTCTATCATAGTCCTCTCTTTCATTATCTAGGAGTCTCAAGAGTCAAGACCAACAAAAGCTTTATGGCTTATTAGCTATTTACATTCCAGGCCCTATTTGATGCAACCCATTAAAAGAAATGAAAATTGTTTAATATGAAGCAAAATTGACTAGAAAAGAAAAGGGGTTTTTATAGTTCAGTCCACCTCAGAAATCTGACCCCCACTGTACAGGTCAGATGAATCCTGCCTGTGGATTGATTCCAAATTCACGGGCAGGATGCAGTTTATGGGGGGGGGGGGCTACTAGTAGACTAGGAGGGGGCTGCAATTTCAGATTTCTGAAGTGGATTGCAGTCCACTTATCCCAAAAGAAAAACCAAACGAGACTAGTGTGCAAGTATATTAAACTTCGGAACTTAGTGCCTCTACTTCATTAAGTGTCCCAGTAACATGGGCCAGGCCAGTACTTCACTGGTATTTTTTATCACTATAAGGTCCACTACAAAGACAAAAAGTGACAATAAATCTTTTCACAGCCCCAGCATTACATACCCCAAGGTGCTTACAAAACAGCCATTGGAAGGAACAATTTATACCTCCATGTAAATTAAAATAGGACAACCAAGAATGATGCTGCTGCTATAAACTATAAGAAAGGCTGTTACCTAATACTGGTCCTGACCATCCAGGGTGTTCGGAGAGGCAGACTGGATACGGACCTAGCCTCTGACAATTTTAGCATAAATAAAATGACAGCTCTCAGTGCTTCAGTGCTGCTAATATCTTATCACACACTAAGAGTGTGTTCACCAATATGCATGGTTTTGTTTTTTTAATAAGTGCATGATTTTGTTTTAAAAATATCATATTATTTTTTATGTGGCAGTTATTTTTGTTTTGAAAGACAAAACCATGTATGACCTTTATGCAATTTGGAGAAGTCAGATGAACTCTCTAAAACCTAATGTTCAATGGTGTGGAGCAAACAAGTAACATAATTATAGAATTGTTCCAAAAAAATGTTTTAACATCTTATAATACTTCACCTGGTATATCAGTAAGAAGGGATGATCAGGAAAAAAAATCAGCACTCTAAGAAGAGCTAGGGAAAGTGGAATAAAATAAAGAGAGAAACTAATGTTCAATGGTGTGGAGCAAACAAGTAACATAATTATAGAATTGTTCCAAAAAAATGTTTTAACATCTTATAATACTTCACCTGGTATATCAGTAAGAAGGGATGATCAGGAAAAAAAAATCAGCACTCTAAGAAGAGCTAGGGAAAGTGGAATAAAATAAAAAGAGAAATCTAACAACTTCTATGTCATATGAACTTTGGTGCAGGTAAGGTTCAAAGTATCAATACACCTGATCCGCACATATCGGGTGTTTTGACTTACCATAATTTTTTTTTAGTTTTTTTTTCTCTGTTTTTCCAAAATTGGTCAAAGGGTCAGTCTTAGGCCTGCCTACCCCCTGAAACTAATCAAAACCCCAAAAGACCCTTATTAGAGTATCAATGACTTGTTGGGTGTGGATATGTATTTAGGCCCTGTTTGCTTTTCGGTATGTTACTTACCCGGGTAAATGCACTTACCCGGGTAAGTGTTTCTCAGGAAAGACTTACCCAGGTAAGTCCATTTACCCATGTTCTTTTATTTTCAATGTAAATAAGACAATGACCATTTTAGCCATAAAAATCCATTATTAAAAGGGGCATTTTTGTCCCATTCAAGTGTTAGCAACTTTCCCTTTAGGTGGGAAAGTTATTTACCCACCTAGGAGATGGGTATCACTTACCCAGGTAAGTTATTTTCCAAGTAAGTGATACCAAGAAAATAAACTTTCCCTGTTCTCCACATAAATCTGAAAAAAGAACATGGCATTCTTGGTCAATGGGAATCAAAACCCCATTGACCAACTTTCCCCCCTCTCAAAATCCAGAAAAAGAACGCCCCCTTAGGAGTCAGATTGAACTGGCCTCAAAATCTTGAGATATGGGGACTCTGGCTAACCACTACCAACATACGGCCACATTATACATTGGTGATTGGACAATAAATATTAATTTCCAATCATGCAATAGCATGTGTTTATTTAGATGCATTCCATCATAAATATCCTAAGTAGAAAAGCATCAATAACAAAGGAAGGAAGAGATATGTCAGATTCAAGCATGATAGTTAAAAATCCAATAACATAATCGAGTTTAGGAAATTATTTATCAAAAAAAAAATGGAGTTTAGGAAATTCATATTTTATGGGAACTCATGATAGAGCATTGTATATATTCAAGCTTCAATTTCTAATTGATTTGGTGGCATGATTTTACAATATTCTGAATATTTTTAAATACCCATTGTGAAGGCAATAAATCAACTTATTCTCTCAAAAACTTTTCTTGAGGATAATGCTCTTCATGTTTCTTCATTGAGAATTATCACTAAAATTATACACTTTCGATTTGGAGCATAGACTTCTCCATGGGACTTGGGCTGATTTTCATTATCTTATCTGCGGTTAATTTTGAGGATTGTATCGGATAACTGAATCATATTTAAGCAGCTCTTGACATTCCAATACAAACAAACAAACAATTTATCTGATTTTCTTTATAATGTTCCAATGTAAGTAGAGACTATGGTACTATAATAAGTTATCTGTTCCATGAGAAGAACTGGCTATAAGAATGCAAGACTTGATTGCAACTGAAACAGTTACTATCACGGAATAAGGATTACACGAGAAAATTCTTGAACTGCGATATAATTTTACTTTGAGTGAAAAACTTACATCGTAAGAAACCAAGAAACTAGAAATGCCTGTCAATAAAGTTGAGCATGAAAGGTAAACGGAAAAATGAAGCAGTATACACATGAAGAAAAACGAAAAATGACATAAATAGTAACTAAGCACACCTTGAGGAATCAATCCCCAGCTCTGTGATTCTATCGACAGGCTCGATCTCAGACGAGCTGAAGCGATTGCGCTATGCAAAGGCATCATTGATACCAAGCTGCTCAACTCCAACGGTAATCTACCAGACCAAACATGGAATCAAAGTCAACGAAGAAATAGAAATTGAAGTCTTGGACAAAGCATCAGGACGGCTGTTAAAAAATCCTACCTTGAAGTCCCATAAATGCGCTTTGCAGAGGCAGAAACCTGAGACTGAGAGCTCGACTTGAATGAAGAAATTGCAGGTGAGATCTCATTCTTATAGAGTTTGCGAACCAGAGATGGAGAACGAGTAGATAACCTCGCGAGAATGGTTGGAACAGACATCTTAGACACAGCCTTCCAAGGGTTTAAGCACCTTTTGTTAATTTCAAGCGAAGGGTTCCAGTGTTCTACTATGAAAGCTGTGAAAGTCACGAATGTGCGCTTGATGCACATGTGCACGTCGACCTCTATAAAGTGGGGCATTTCAGTAATAACGCACTTCCAACCTGTGACGAGTTATAAAGACTGAAAACCGCGAATCTTCAGACCCGACAATCATCGTCGTCGTAACACATTAACCCCTGTTCTCTTCTCGAATCACGTCTTGGTACTCTGAAGCCTTGGAATTGACGGGTTTCTCTTTCCCTTAGTGTGGCTCGTTTGCAAGGGTTTTCAGGTCAGGTTTCAACTTTTGCAGATTTTCTTTCTTTTATATTCGCTCAGAACTGTCCTTTGTTCATCGAATTGCACGACTCGTCGACTGGACGCAACGTTGTTCTTTTTTTTTTTTTTGTGTGTGTGTGTGTCTGGAGATCTAAACTTTCACATCACTTTCTTGTAGCAATTTTAGTTCCATTGTTTTTTTATTCAAGTAATTATGCAATTAAAATCACTTTCTTGCAAAGCTGAGTTGATCTTCTTCTGCAATTTTGTGTTTGTTGTGGCGAACTGATTAATCGTTGATAGAATCCATTTTCTGGTATCTGTTTCAAGAATACAAGGCATTATTTTGTTCATATAATTCATCATTTAATACTCCGCGAACATTTTCTCCTTATGCAGCTCTAAGATCAAATTCTGAATTTTGGACACGTATATAATTCGTCAGAATGCAGGTCAGTAACTATATCAATCAGAATTAGAATTTTTTTTCTTTGTATTTCCCTGTGTATTTTCAGCTATATGATGTAAAGGTTTTAAACTTGTGGTAATAGTTATTAGCTTTGTACTAAGGTAAGAAGATGTCTTATCACATGAGCAAGTTTCCCCTGTTCATAAATTTTTATATTTTAGTTGTTTAATTCCGTTTCGTATATAGGCATCAAGAACAAGGCTATTTAAGGAATACAAAGAGGTGCAACGAGAGAAAGCAATTGATTCAGACATTCAATTAGTCTGCGATGATACAAACATATTTAAATGGACTGCTCTTATTAAAGTAAGACCTGTGATGATGGATGAATGTGTTATATCAATATCATACTGTTGCCATTGTTCTTTTTTTGCCTTTAACTATGGCTTTGTTTTGGATGTAGGGACCATCAGAAACCCCTTATGAAGGTGGTGTATTTCAACTTGCATTTGCCATTCCTGAACACTATCCCTTGCAACCTCCTCAAGTGCTATTCTTGACAAAAATATTCCATCCAAATGTGCATTTTAAGGTATGGATATTTTTCTTTTTGGCAATACATTTCTGTTGAACTAAACAAAACTTAGAAGCAAGATTTTGAATATATGCTATTAATTTGGTTGAACCATATTTCTTCTCCTTTGTTGCAGACAGGAGAGATTTGCTTGGATATCTTGAAGAATGCATGGAGCCCGGCATGGACGCTCCAGTCTGTTTGCAGGGCTATAATTGCTTTGATGGCCCATCCTGAACCTGACAGTCCACTCAATTGTGATTCAGGTAGATTAGTGAATATTTAATATATATATATATTGTCGGTAAATTAGGAAAGTTAGGATTTGATTGAATAAATTTAGGAAAGTCATATCATAGGATTAAGGGAAAGAATTCAATCCCTGATTGTGAGAGATTCTAGGGTTAGCCTTTCCTATCTTTTCTTATTTAAGTTGTATGTATGCTCAATGTGTTTTAAAATGGAACAAAGAAAATATTTTCTTCTCTCTCCCTCTATATTTCGCTACATGATATCAGAGCCTTAGGGTTCGATCATGAATTTTAAGGCCGCCATGGTTGGCTTCGGTTCAGCCTCTTCGGATGCTACCAGCGGTGTGACGTCTTCGAAGGGATGTGTTCAACCAGCGGTTGTTTCTCTTTCTGAGAATTCTCTTCAAATTACCATTCACAAATTGAATGGCAAAAATTATTTTGAGTGGTCTCAGTTCGTGCGATTGGTGATCGACGACAAAGGGAAACTTGGCTATTTGAACAGCTAAGTGAAACCGCCAGCCACTGATGATCCAAAGTATAGGCAGTGGCGTTCTGAAAATTCGATGGTTATCGCTTGGTTGATCAACTCTATGGATCCGGTGGTTGGAAAACCATTCATGTTCCTGCCAACGGCTCGCGATGTGTGGGAAGCAGTTAGGGAAACCTATTCGGATTTGGACAATCATTCACAATTGTTCGAATTGAATACCCAAATGTGGAAGATGCAGCAAGGTGAACGTGAAGTAACAACTTATTATAATGAGATGATGGCTGTTTGGTAGGAATTGGATTTATTTGAAGAAGAAGAATAAGAAAGTCCGAGTGATAGTGCTCGGTACAAAAAGAAGATAGAAAGAGGTCGGGTATTTGTTTTCTTGGCTGGTTTGAATAAAGAACTCAATGAGGTTTGGGGACGTATCTTAGGGCGAAAGCCCTTGCCGACTATGAGAGAAGTTTTTTCGGAAGTGCGTAGAGAAGAAGCACGACGACAAGTGATGTTGAAGAATGTTAGTGAAACAAAAACAGAGAATGAGGGGTCTGCTCTTGTGGCCCGAGGTGCAAACTTAGAAGGAGATAGATGAGGAGGAAAGCAGAGGCCTTGGTGTGACCATTGTAGAAAGCCGTGGCATACTCGGGAAACCTGCTGGAAGCTGCACGGGAAACCGGCGGGTTGGAAGAAAAAACCAGGCAGTGACAACAAGTCAGGGGGAGATGTCCGTGCGTTTCAAGTGAGCAATTCGGATCCAGGGCAGCAATCATCCTCAGAGCCTCTTCCTTTCACAAAGGAACAAATAGAGCACTTATATAAAATGTTTCAATCTCAATCTTTAGGAAATTCTAACCCATCCTGTTCTCTAGCTCAGTCAGGTAATTTTTTCACT